TAAGCCTGATTCCGAATTCCAAATATAAAACGTTCGCTTGTGCTCACCTAGTTCTACCTGACTGAAATTGAACTATTTCGTGAATTCCTAGTTTGTATTACAATTCAAATGCTTTTAAATATCACATTTCCTTTACTCATCGACCGTCTCCAAAATGCATTTTCGAACTCCATTATTCCTGACTTCTGATTTGTTTCGCTACAGAGTCTTCAGTTATCAAGACATTAGGGTCAACAGCATTGTCAAGCACTGAACATCCGTGATCATTGTGAAAAATACTTATTTACCATAATGCTACCTAAAGGAATATAAGCACCAACAATTTTGAGTTCTTGAATCGTGAAATAACTGGGTATCGGGGGAGCTGTCAAATTTTGATCACAAGATAATCACCTAACAAAAACTGGTCAATAAGAATGAAGACACAGCACGCATTGCAAGTAAAGAAGCATATTATACATCTGTGTCTAGCTACAGTAATAGTAAGCATTAAAAATTGCTTACTTAAATATTTACGCTTATTACCCCTCGACGAGGAGCGTAGGCCCTTCACCAGCACTCTCTATCCCACCCTATCCTGGCCAATCCTTTCCAGTTGCTATTCCTACTTTTCATGCCTGCTTCTAAGTCCAGAAGTAGTGTGTTCTTTGGCCTTTCTCTTTTCTGTTCACCTTCACGATTCCAAGTTAGGACTTTTCTCGTGATGAAGTTTGATCATTTCCGTAATGTATATCCCATCCACCTCCAACGTCTTCCCCTAATTTCCTCTTCACATGGAAGCTGGTTTGTTCTCTACCACAGTAGGTTGTTGCTGATTGAGTATCTTACGTAGACAATTGTTTATAAAAACGTGTACCGTTTTGTTGATGGACGTAGGAGTGTGGTGTTTGCCCCGGCAGGTCGATGGAGCTACGGAGGTCAGCGCGTCGCAGACTCAACATTCTGACGGAGGTCGTAGCACAGACTACAGAAAAGAAGAAAGTTGCACGGCGAGCATGAACCACTGCAAGAACGACTGCTTCAAAAGGGGGACGAGTGTGGTGTGTGCTACTTATTTAGACACAAGTAGTATATAATGTCAGTCGTGAACAGAGTGTCTGGCAGCAGAGAGACAAGAATATCTAACAGTAAAGAATGAAGACAGAATGCAATTTGTGTGAAAATACAAGAACAATGAAGGGTGAGTCATTTTGAGACAATTGATGGACATTTTGCAAATTGAGCATTTAATATATGATTGTTATATTTTATAAACAAGTTCTGTAATTTATTGTCAAGTACATTCGATTTTTCCCCACCCATGTTCTGCTCACTACAGTAGCTCTCTGCTTTTCAGCTCCGCATAGTAGAACAGTCTTGACGTTCGTATTGAATATTCTGACTTTGGTGTTATTTTATAGTTGTCTCGATTTCCATATATTCTACGGTTGTAGAAATGCGGCACTTGTTTTGCCAATTCTCACTTTTACGTCTGCATCCGATCCGCCTTGTTCATCGACGATGCTGTTCAGGCAAGTACGTTAAAGTTTCCCACTTTCAGAGCTTTTCCATCAAGTGTGATTGGGTTGGTGTTCTCTGTTTTTCACTTGAGGATCTTAGTATTTCTCTTGTGAATGTTGAGGCCTACTGATGCAGGGGTTGCTGCTGCATTGGCTGTTTTCACTTGCATTTGTTGGTGTGTATGAGATAGTAAGGCTTGGTCATCTGTGATGTCCAAAACTTTTAGTTGCATGCAAGCCGTCTATTTCATTTTCATAGTCTAGGAAGTTAATGTATGGTAACGAGTTGCATTAAATTGATTGTTCAACGATGATCCGTAGTGTCGCCATTTGGTCTGTACGCGACCGGTCCTTTCAAAATCCAGCCCATTGATCTCGAAGTTGGGCGTCTACTGAGTTTTTCATCCGGTTTAGCAACACTGTTGAAAACTTTTCCCGATACCGATAGTAGTGTGATGTCTATGCAGTTTTAACACTTGCTTGGATCTCCTGTCTTTGGTATCTTGATGAGGTATCCTTCTTTCTAGTCCATCGATACTTGTTGTTTCCCCAAATCTTCCTGAATAGAACGTGAAGCATACTTGCAGTTGCTTCTATGTATGACTTCAGTGCTTCAGCTGGTATATTGGCAGGTCCTGCTGTTTTCTCACTCTTGATTTGTCCGATGGCTATCTGATTTCTTCGGTTGTTGATGAAGTGACATCTATAAGAAGGTCTGTTTGTGCTGCTTCGATGTCAATTGAATCGATTGACTCATGATCTCAACTATTTAGATAAATTCGTGTTAATTTAATTCGTTTATTGATTTACTCTGAAGAAGTGGCTTACAGTATGTCACAAATAGTAAGAAATTAAATTCTTCTACTCATTGGTATATACCAAAACGTTTTTTGACTTTCTACCCAATGATCAATTTACTTGAAGCTATCAAATCCAACCATGGCATTCATACCTGCGAATTCATTATTAATGGTAATTTATTTCATATAACAATGTATCACAGAATACAAACCAGTTTACATACAAGATCAAAATATCACAAACGTTACAGGGTTTACTTTAATAAGTTACTCGGATAGGCTGATACGTAATATGATATAGAAACAGGGGATAGATTTTTGTACATAAGAATATGAGCAATGTTATTTGAGATGCCATAGGTATTCAGAGTTTGACAACGCCTTTACACGTAACACTTTTATAGTCGAAGTATACCAATCTAGTCAGATGAGGGGGTTCTAAGATGTTGAGATGGTGGGGAAGATTTGTATCTCAGGTGGATGATTTTGATGGAGTTTTGTTCTCTGATCTGCATGGTTTGCTTGTGAAGCTTTGATTGTTCTTCTGAACAACATTATCAGTTTGTGTAAAGTCAAAAATGTTCCAGCGTCGACATAATTAAAAGCCATACGCATTGACCATAAGGTTCAAAAACCTTTGGCTGTATTTTGCAGTAGTTTTCAAGTCTTGGCTAACGATGACTCCTAAGTCAATGTTGTTCATTACGTATGAACCTGTATTTTGATGACTAATATGCATCACAATACACTTGGAAGTATTTATCGGCATCTACCAAGTTCGAGACTATTCGGGTTCAAACTATCACCCTACTATCACCCCTACAACCACACCAGTTAGGCTAACGGCTCGACATTCTCAATATTGATATCTTGTCTCATCAGTTCCCAGTAACAAGAATCCATTCCACATTCTTCGCCTCTTGCGGAGAAGGGTGCGAGCCTCCCTACTGGATCATGGTGAAGAGTTACTCGGACCCATTGATGAAGTCCAGGGGATTTGGGGTGCAGTAACTTTCAGGTATAACTTTCGAAATACATCCCAAGTTGTTTCAATTGGGGGACTCTGTGTTTATTGTCCAATATACTGACGGTGCCGTGTGTATATGTCTTGTACATTTGCTTTTCAGACGTTAGTTCTGGATTGAGTTGTCGCGTGCTCAAAGGTCCGGTCAAAGGTTAGAGCTGCATGATCACGTTTAGTTAGGGGTGGCAGGTAATCGAGGTTCGCAACCTCATCCTCATGGTGAGTCAATATAAGATCTAGTAAGGATGATTCAGAGTCCGGGTCGTACCTAATTGCTTCTTTCATATGTTGCACCAGGGCACATGTGATAACCGCATCAACTCATTCCTTATAAAAGGAAATTTCTGACACTTCTCTTGTCAGATTTATCCAGTCTACCTTATGTGCATTAAAGTCTTGTAGGATTAGACATCGACCACTTTGTGATCAAGTTTTGAGACTGTAGAACAAGACCTCATTTGCCTTACACACTGAACTGCGATAGACCAAACCAATCAGCAGCTCTTATCCCTTGCATTTCATGAGGCAACTTACTAATTCACACGTCCCACTCTCATGGGATACCCTGTCGATAATGACAAATGGGATAGTATTCCTAATGAAAAAAGCTACTCACCCTCCTTTACGCATTTGTATTCTGTCGGTCCTTACTATAGTAAAACCCTCGAAATCAAGTTCCATAATATCTATAGAGTGTGTCAGCCAAGTTTCTGTGACTGCGATTATAGCTAGCTTTGTAGAGTCAACCTGTACACTTAGTTTCGATCGCTTATTGAGCAAGCTTCGGGCATTGGGGTAACAGATTCGGAGCCTATTTAGATGGCTTCGTGCTTCACCCAGAGTGGCTTCTGTATCATTCTCTGTCGAAGCCTCACAACCCGAAAATTTACAATTTTTAGGTTCCTTCCGCCAGGGTCTAACCTAAGTTGTAGTTGTTTTTCGGCTTCTCGTCTTTTTACACGGTCTGCCAACGGCAAGTCTTTACTGGCAAAAGTTCCTAAACCCTATGGTTTATGTCCGTCCTGCAATATTAATTTCCGTTCTTTAGGAGACTCGAATACTACTTTAAGCAGTCTGGATTGATTAGGCTTCAAGTTCGCTTGACTACCTATTCTGTACACATTTAGCAAGGTGACTCTGGAGATATCCTGAGGCATAAGCTGATTTAGTGGCTGTTTTATTATCTTAATGTCATTCTAAAAACGACATTCAGGTTTTGAGCTTTCGCCTTCCTTGATTCTATGAAAGATAAATGACCTGTCACTGTGATCAAACTTTAAATTCTCGGTTTGGATTGGTTTTACTTTTATATCGTCCTGTCGTTCCTTGTTCACGACCTGTACCCAGTCATCAACTCTCATTGAAGTAGCAACCACGGTCGTGTTAAACATACCGTGGGATTCCGGAAGGTTATCGGCGACTTGGGTAGTTAGGTTGCGTTTCCTGCTACAAACAGATCTAGCTTTAAGCCAGGGATTCTTAGGCGTTTTCTGACGAATACCATTTAGAGGAAAGGGCAAATTTTCTGAGAATCACAACATTATGGTGTTAAGAATCGTTCTTCATTCCTCAGAAGTAAATTCTGAAGAGCAATTAATTCACTACCAGCCGAGGAAATGTTGAAGTTTGAATGACACCACTCCCTTTTAAACGCTCTCATAAGCCAGTTTTAAAAAGATGTTTGTGTTCCTGGGGGTTTTGCTTTTGAGGCTAGCTTTAGTTTGTAGTGGGTTAGAAGGTATTTCAATTTGTGTAGTCACAGTGCTTTAGTTCGTTCTAAGGTTAATGGAGAAGTCGAAACTTATATGTCGGCGGTAAAACTGGAAGGTCTTCCGTACACCAAACGTGCAGTAAACATCTCCGTTTCTGTGACTGTAAAATATGAAGTCACAGGAGTTAATGATCCATCCACTGTTACATTGTCTTGGAAGCGTAATGGCGAAGAAATTTCAGTTAGCCGACGTAAGACAGATGATGCGCCCATCCTTTCCGGAGATTACTCTTCAGAGACATTCTCGGACACTACGCATACTTTGGAAGTTACTCTACATTTAAATCAAAAAGGTATCTTTGTTAATATGCCTTACACAAATTAGGTCCAGTTCCTGGAAATTATACTTTGATTGCAACAATGGATGGGGTTACGTCTTCGGGTTCTGGCGTAGCATATAGTACGTTTCATTTTAAGTGTTTATTATGAGCAGTGTTGTGGGTTTGTGTAATTTTTCATATTATTTCAAATAGTTTCCACAGTAAATTCATTCGTGGATATGATGACATGTAACCTAGTTCACTTATTAACCGCTTATTCGTGGTTAGTGAGCTCTTCGACGTTAATTCAATGCGGTGTTACAGTGAGTCTCAGGAAGCATTGTCAAATATAAGGTCACATAAACTAGGTTCAGGTAACTGAGTAAAGTTATCAGACGTCTCCAAGTTGTTTCGGGAAGTATATGAACGAGTAGTCAGGTGGAAGCAATGTCGTTTACTATCACGTAAAATCTTTGTTTTCCGTAATAGAAAACAACAGAAAAGTTTTTCCTTCTAACCAAATAACACCCGTTTATAACAGTCATTTCGATAATGCAATGAGAAAACGAAGGTTATCAAAATTATGTTATATATTTGCGCAATACATTTCGAACAATCTGATCACACATTTGTTAAGATATTTTTATACGAAAACTAAAGTACACAAAAACAGTGTGGTAACCACTCTGGATATCAATTCAGTAGTACCAGGGGAGGTTAGAAATGAGAACAAATTGTTTTTGAAAATATATTTTCAGTTTCCGTAAAGCCAATGTTTCAGTAAACCTAATTCTACGCCCTTAAAAGCTTTTGTACAACACTATGAATGTTGACTTGATATCAACCTAATGACCAGTCTCAACCAAATGTTTCGCAATGGGGGAAGATGTCCCTCCTTCCTGTGATCTTATTTGACTATTGAAATTCATTTGGGTGTGTTCCGCCACCCTTACTTGCAGATCACAATTGCTCCTCTCTATGTACATGTCTCTGCACATATATGTAAATTGATAAGCACAATCGCTCACATGCTGTTTGGGTTTTTAGTGAAACATAGATCTTGTCTCTTCAGTAATGACAAGTTGGACTTGACAAAACGTCTTGTTGATGACTCCGTTTTAACATGAGACTATTGGAGTCATTACCATGAAAAAAGCGTGATAAAACATCATGTGCAATCAAAGGACGTCAGCTTTGTAGGTCACTTGTTAAGAGAATAAGACGACCATTAAGCTTAATCCTTTCCTACCATATGAACTTGACTCTGAATCAACGTGTTGCAAGTTCAAATCTCGCTTTGATTTCAGCAATAGCATTGTACTTTCATTTTTGGGAATTGACTGGTCTGCTATATCATCTTATATTTAGAATGCCTAGTTCATCTCAATTTATGTTCTGAAATTCAGATGTTTATGTGAGCATAATTCATTTTGTCAAACGGATTGTTAATTGTTATTTTCAGTCTCCAATGTTTGGTGTTCCATTGATTAACTGGAAATTTAAACAGTATATATTCAAATGTAAAGCACATCATGCAGACGATTACCAGTTATTTAATTTTGTACGGGTTAATTTCTAGTATAAGAAATTGCATCCCTGTACTTGTGACCATAAGGCTTCTATTTGCTATTACATACCTTCAAAGTAGTATCATACGGGATAAAATTTACAGATAAATCTGAAAGAATCGAGGTAGGAACTAAGAACTAATGGGGTATAGTACGAGAAAAGCGTAAAGTTACACGTTTACTTTATTTTTATGTAGTCTAAAAACGTACTTATGATCTAATAGTTGTGTACGATTCAGTATTAAAATACTGAAACAGATATGCATTAAATGCATAAGTAACAGCTATCTTCGCGTAAAAAAATTGGGATTAGGAGAAACACAAATTATAGATTTATTAATCCCCATTCTCCAGAATTGCCATAAAAGCCTTGTAGTCCTACAATGTTTCAACATACACTATCAAACTGGTTTACTGGATTTTAACTGGCGTATGAAATAATTATTTCTTTATTTGTACTTATAATTTACAGGTAGAAAACTATTCTTTCATATTGTTTTTCGCCCTCAGAATATCCTAAAATCATGAATATTTCTGCGTCGAATTTTCGTAATGTTTGTTGTAGCGTATGCCTAAGTAAGGTGTTGTACTCCTGTAATATAAAATAATGCGACTCTATAACTACACTGGAATTTGAGCACCTAGAATAAGGATGCGTTATTAGCCAAAATATGACTATACTATCCGTTCTTCTAAACCTTATTCAGTGAAGGGAATTCAACCATTGGTTAGAGACTTAAAATGACATGTTTCAAAATCGCTCGTAGTGGCCCATGTGCATCCATTATTTGTCCTTCAGATTCTAAAGTTTCTCTTTATTTTGCCAATTTATATTGTCTTTATCTTCTATGCCTAATTTTTCCTATCACTGATACTGTTACTATCTATACTAGTCTGGAATTTGGCCTGAAAACTTCATCTTTCTGTGCTGATAGAGCATGGCAACCTGAACCGATGTACATACGTACAGGTTCTACGTTGTGTCTGACTTAGGGAAAGCCAAACCTAGTTTAACGCAATCATTTTCCGTTTGTTTTTGAAACTGTAAACTAGCCATTTATCTTAACAATTGAGTCAATTATCATCCTCAAAAAGGTACAAGTATTTATAAACAGTTGTCCACCTAATATACTCCATCCGTTGGCCGTAAACCACCAGCGACAGCCTCAGTCAGTCAGTAACAACGTGGAACTTCGTACGTACGTACATCAGTTCGAGTTGCCATACCACATTAGCACAGAGATTCAGTTATCGATTCAAATCCCATAGTGGTAGAGGTACTGAAAGTATAAGTAGAGATAGGGGACATGAAGGTTTGATGATGTTATTAAAGGAGTATAGTCCAGTGGAATAAATTGGGAAAGAAAATAAAGGACATGAAGAATTCAGAAGATTAGAGTTTGAGAGAACACAAAGAGTGGATGCACCTACTCCATTGTAAACGATTTTGAGCCATGTCATTCAAGGTTTCTAACGACTGATTGCTATCATCTCGCGGATCCCAACCAGGTAGTCTACACCTACCAACATGACTCAGTCCACTTGTCTGCTATATCATCTTATATTTGGAATGCCTAGTTCATCTCAATTTATGTTCTGAAATTCAGATGTTTATGTGAGCATAATTCATTTTGTCAAACGGATTGTTAATTGTTATTTTCAGTCTCCAATGTTTGGTGTTCCATTGATTAACTGGAAATTTAAACAGTATATATTCAAATGTAAAGCACATCATGCAGACGATTACCAGTTATTTAATTTTGTACGGGTTAATTTCTAGTATAAGAAATTGCATCCCTGTACTTGTGACCATAAGGCTTCTATTTGCTATTACATACCTTCAAAGTAGTATCATACGGGATAAAATTTACAGATAAATCTGAAAGAATCGAGGTAGGAACTAAGAACTAATGGGGTATAGTACGAGAAAAGCGTAAAGTTACACGTTTACTTTATTTTTATGTAGTCTAAAAACGTGCTTATGATCTAATAGTTGTGTACGATTCAGTATTAAAATACTGAAACAGATATGCATTAAATGCATAAGTAACAGCTATCTTCGCGTAAAAAAATTGGGATTAGGAGAAACATAAATTATAGATTTATTAATCCCCATTCTCCAGAATTGCCATAAAAGCCTTGTAGTCCTACAATGTTTCAACATACACTATCAAACTGGTTTACTAGATTTTAACTGGCGTATGAAATAATTATTTCTTTATTTGTACTTATAATTTACAGGTAGAAAACTATTCTTTCATATTGTTTTTCGCCCTCAGAATATCCTAAAATCATGAATATTTCTGCGTCGAATTTTCGTAATGTTTGTTGTAGCGTATGCCTAAGTAAGGTGTTGTACTCCTGTAATATAAAATAATGCGACTCTATAACTACACTGGAATTTGAGCACCTAGAATAAGGATGCGTTATTAGCCAAAATATGACTATACTATCCGTTCTTCTAAACCCTATTCAGTGAAGGGAATTCAACCATTGGTTAGAGACTTAAAATGACATGTTTCAAAATCGCTCGTAGTGGCCCATGTGCATCCATTATTTGTCCTTCAGATTCTAAAGTTTCTCTTTATTTTGCCAATTTATATTGTCTTTATCTTCTATGCCTAATTTTTCCTATCACTGATACTGTTACTATCTATACTAGTCTGGAATTTGGCCTGAAAACTTCATCTTTCTGTGCTGATAGAGCATGGCAACCTGAACCGATGTACATACGCACAGGTTCTACGTTGTGTCTGACTTAGGGAAAGCCAAACCTAGTTTAACGCAATCATTTTCCGTTTGTTTTTGAAACTGTAAACTAGCCATTTATCTTAACAATTGAGTCAATTATCATCATCAAAAAGGTACAAGTATTTATAAACAGTTGTCCACCTAATATACTCCATCCGTTGGCCGTAAACCACCAGCGACAGCCTCAGTCAGTCAGTAACAACGTGGAACTTCGTACGTACGTACATCAGTTCGAGTTGCCATACCACATTAGCACAGAGATTCAGTTATCGATTCAAATCCCATAGTGGTAGAGGTACTGAAAGTATAAGTAGAGATAGGGGACATTAAGGTTTGATGATGTTATTAAAGGAGTATAGTCCAGTGGAATAAATTGGGAAAGAAAATAAAGGACATGAAGAATTCAGAAGATTAGAGTTTGAGAGAACACAAAGAGTGGATGCACCTGCGCCATTGTAAACGATTTTGAGCCATGTCATTCAAGGTTTCTAACGACTGATTGCTATCATCTCGCGGATCCCAACCAGGTAGTCTACACCTACCAACATGACTCAGTCCACTTGTCAGTGACTTCATGGATTTGTGCCATGTTTTGGTCTGGCCGCCCCTAGCTTTCTTCCAACCTACTCCTACACCATAAAACATAGCACGTCGGGGCAGTCGGTGGTCGGGCATGCGCAACACATGTCCCAGCCATCTCAAATGATTGAGTTTCACTACTTCAATTGATTTTCCATCCAGCGACAGCCTACTGTGGTAGAGAACAAACCAGCTTCCATGTGAAGAGGAAATTAGGGGAAGACGTTGGAGGTGGATAGGATATACATTACGGAAATGATCAAACTTCATCACGAGAAAAGTCCTAACTTGGAATCGTGAAGGTGAACAGAAAAGAGAAAGGCCGAAGAACACACTACTTCTGGACTTAGAAGCAGGCATGAAAAGTAGGAATAGCAACTGGAAAGGATTGGCCAGGATAGGGTGGGATAGAGAGTGCTGGTGAAGGGCCTACGCTCCTCGACGAGGGGTAACAGGCTTGAGTCAATTATTTATCAACTTAAATCCATGTGACGTGTTATTCCATACATTTCGCATGAAAATCTAACTATTTAGATTTGTATTCCTATCCTTAAACTAAATCATCTTTCGTTGTTAATCACTATTACTCAGGCGCACCTGTTCTTCCACTGTTTACTAAACCAAAACGTGTCTTGGAGGGCGATATCATGCGGCTGGTTTGTCGTGTTAGTAGTTATCCTCAGCCATCTTCAGTAATATGGAGTTTTGCATCGATACAAGCCAGTCAAATGGATGATGACAATGCCATTAATACAGCCTTATATAATTTACTTCCTCTGTTGACCAATGAAACTCACTATGTCCTCGAAACAAGTGATGGTGGTACGCCGAATGATACTCTGCGCTTCTTGGATTTAAAAGAAAGTGATAATGGTCTGTATGCATGTAACGTTTCAACTGAACGCGGTACTGATTTCGCCTTGATGATTGTCAATGTTAAAGGTAATGTTCAAGTTCGATTATCGAATTGTAAGTTTTATATATATATATATATATAACCTGAAAAACTTCGAACGGGGCATAATTATAATTACATAAACTCAATTCACCGTATTGCAATGACAAGCAAACTGTTATTTGTAAATTTCATATGCAATTTCTTCAATAATTCGATTATGTCACACACTACTCTTCACACATTAACCTCTACTATCTCTAAAACTAAAATGTGGTCGGTGTATTTCAACAAATAAATGTACAAATTGTTTGTATCCTCATTGTATAGCCATTTTAGTGGATTCATTTATCTCGTTTCTATCCTTGTCAACTCCGTAAACCTAGTTCAGTTGAATCCTTCCATTTGATATGTGTTTACCGGATTTCCTGTCTTGCACTATACCTAGCTACGTTATAATGTATTTAATACCTCCATTACCTCTTCATAAAAGTCAATTAGAAAGTTGTCAAATTTATTTAAGTTTATGGTAAACAGATACTTGATTCATTTTCTCAATTAAGTAGCCTTCTTAACATACTGATCAAGAGATAGCTTAAGAAACAGGTAATGTTGTACATTCTGCTTGTCTTTATATTTACAAGCTGTATGCTTTCGTACCATATGAGGTAATGCTTGTAGAAACATCCAAAGGGCTATAACTGATTTATTGCTTTCCATGTTTTGATTAATCATCAAAGTTGATCAATGTTACACAGCTAATAATGAGTAGACATTTCTAAAAACAGTTTTCTCTAAGAGGACATCAGCGACAAAATCGTCGAACCCAGGGAGTGCTTGGCCACCTGTTGTGTCTTAGTTTGGAACTCTTCAGAAATTCACAGTCAATTGATCCTTCTATCCGGTATAAGAGTTAGTACTCTAGATTTGGGTAGTAGTGCGTTACCTGTAAATCACACTGGGTTTGTGGGAGACCAATAAAATTATGAAGATATCTTTACTCACTTAGTACTCGAAAAGATATAAAAGGAATGAGCTAATTGGACAGAAAAACAAATATATATAAAATTTATGAGTTACTTGTTATTGTCAGGAGGGTCCGTGTTGACACGTCCTAATATATATTTACAATTATGATAATGTAGGAAAGATAATTCCACAGTTCCAGGTATAGATTCAATTTACTTGTATGTAATTGACAGGGAATATGCTGTATGACGTGAACTAAAACGTGTGCAACGTTATTGTTAGTAAACAGTTTGAAAACTGCAGCCAACAAAGTCAGAAAAAGGTGTGTATGTGAACACTTGTAATTAGCGAACGACAATCACAGTAAGACAGGCGAAAAGCCAACACGGATAATAGCAGTCAACTTGAACAAGATCCTTTATTCAATATAATCCTTGTATACATTGAGTGAAATTAATCAATGTGGACAGCAAAATTACCAAGTAGACATTTTTATCACTAAGCACAAATGAAACAACCCCATATCATAGTAGGATGGTAAACTTGTGGTCAGGAGACTCGAGAGGTTTGAACCTCACTTCACTTGCGCCAGTTTAGGCATCTGTGTAAGTATTATCAGTCCCTATATAAGCTGATGTAGCTCGTAGTTGGATACACAGCTTTTGTCTATTACTTTTTTTTTCACCATGGAATAAAACCATAGGGTTTGGATGATGCTATCTCTGATCCTCATACAAATTATTTTCTAATTATATTCTTGACTTATTGAACTCATCACTTTTATTTGAGTTATTATAGCCGCTGCTAAAATGATATGAATAATGTCATTTTCCATTGACTTTTTTTTTAACCGTCTATCTCTCTATCCACTGATGATTTGACAGTGAATTTTTCGTTGATGATATTATTATGCTTAAAATCATAATCAACACTTCAGAGATAAAAGCATAAATATTGCTTGCTTTTTTTTCAAAATTTATTCTTAACTGTATTTTAGATCGTTGGGCAGCTCTTTGGCCATTTATTGGAATTATTGTTGAAGTTACTATTTTAGTTGTCGCTATCCTATTATATGAACGTCACCAAATGCATACAAAACCAACTAATCTTAGCGCTAAATGTGATACTACTAGTGGTACTGGTGCAGTTTCTGGCCAAGATAATGTATCAGCAATACCTAATAATAAAATACAAACCAATAATAATACAGGTCAAAATAATCTTACAGTTCCTGTTCATGCTGGTGATGTGCATACTGAAAATCTTGATGGAAATGTTGAAGGAAGGTAAGTTTGTTTTCGTTAGTAGTACGTCATACGAACTTATTTATATTGAATGGATATTCATTAGTCATGAGGAAATAAACTATTTTATTTGTCATTATCATCTGGCATATTAGTTTATTTTTTAGCTTCATATTTGTTGACTAGTTGGTTTGACTACACTTACTACTTACTAACGTCTGTTACCCCTCGTTGGGGAGAATTGGCCGCCCACTTGCGTTCGCCATCGAACTCTGCCGTGGGCAGTTGCTTCCAACTGTTATTCATCCTTTTGATATCTGCAAATTCTTGACGTAGTATGTTCTTTGGCCATCCCCTTTTGCGTTTCCCTTGAGGGTTCTACAGTTTTTATCGATGTATTGAAAGTTCATGTGCAGTATATTCTACGCTTATATAAAGTTTTACTGAAAATAATATATGAGAGCATTGTTTTTTTTCACGGAATCCCTTTTTAAAAGCAGTACTTTTCGTTTGTTATACTTTCAAGAAATTTTCACTCGTTCTTCTGAAGGTAAATATTAGTAATTATTCATTTCCTGGTGTCTATTTTCATGATAGGAATGTTAGCATTGCTGTAAGGACTTTCATTGACCAGCATCTTCACCTTAATTACCATCACATTCTAATGGGATAGTTTTTAAAGCAGTCAGCTTCCAGTAGATATGTATTGCTGATCTGAACCTCAAATCACGCACTTCGATCCAGCTAGGTGACAATGTCACTAACCTTCATGCCAAAAATGTGACTGAAAAATAAGTAAATAAACGTATACCTGGAGAGTGAGATACATTTATATGCATTTTAAGAAAGTCGTAAATAAATTATTTGACACGCCAAGTACGTGGGTTAATCTCCTTGTCTCTGAGTTATACTTTGTAGGTATATTATCATTCGATCCACCAAACTGGTGTAATTGGGTGTGGTTCAAACCTAAGTACGTCGAGCCAATCATCCACCTCTTAAAATTCGAATGTATTCTGTCATAGACGTTCTCCTCATTACCTTGCGCGGTTCTGCGAATTGTATCTTACGTAAATCGCGTTTCTCACCTGTGATAGAGACATTGAAGTTCAGATGATTAGAGCTTGATTATCTGCTAATCACCATGAGAGATTTCAAAATGTTGAGTAAGAATTGTCTAAAATTCCACTGTTCAGTCACCGAAAGTCAAGAACCACACAACTGATGTTTCGTCGTAGTTTTTGACTTTTTGAAGATACACATTGGCGATCCCATACTCTGGATCGAAAGAGAGGACTTTCATGATTAGGAGCTGAATCTCTATCTACTCCGTGTGAATCATCTATTGTCATCCGGAATAATAGTCTGAAGTCTGAGGAAAGACTAATAGAAACTACAGCTGTCACGGTTTCGTGTTCAGAAATTGGAGAAGGATGTATGAAGTCTGTAGTTAGTGAGACCATGTTTATTATTATTAATAATAGTAGTGGAAGTAGCATACGAGACTTGTCGAGATTATTCATGATTTGAGGAGATTACATTGTGAATGTATTTTGACTGGATAATTATTTGTGTTGACGTGATTTCTGCAATCGATATCAACATGGGATTTATGACTAATGTGATAGTTGTAAGAGTTTTAATTCATCCTGAATTAGAGTGAATGAATGTAGTGTTTTGTGTTTTATTTGTAAAATGAATAGGAATGTATCCTAACGCGAGCCACACTATTCATTTGTGATGTGTCGGAAACTATGTAGAACTTATATTTATGCTCTTTAGAATGTGAAAGACTAATAGGTGATGTGACATCAACGGTGAAGCCAAAGGACCCACTACTATCAGGAGTGATCTGGTTAATTTCATTGAAGGCTTTCAAGTTTAAAGTTGGTGTTTCGCCAAGGACTCAGGCTAGCATCTTATAGTGTTGAAAAATGTGACATTGATCAAATTTTATATATCATAGCTTCATAGTATTTTGTCAACTATCTTAGTGATCAGATTATAAACATGAGTTCAATTATACCTACTTACGGCGCCCAACTTTTATTTAGTGTTTTCTAGCAATGTTTAATTCTACGTGATGGGGTTAATGACGCCATACGCAATCCTTTTCCTGTATCCGATCTGGGGACCGGCAGTAACCCTAGAAGAGCTACATGCGGAGTTTTAATTACACTACTCAATGTATATTTTGTAAAGTTGCTACAGTTGCTTGAAAACGACACGTTTATCATTGCATATATTTGTGTGTTTGTAGTAGAAAGCTTCGTGTAAATCTGAACATGTCTGTAAATTGGTGTACTTCTGATTATCATTTTCACAATATCCTGTTAGTATTTTATTGAAAGAATTTCTGTTTGCGAAACAGAAATCTGGTTGAACGATCTTTTCGGGGCGTAGTTTTTCGTTTCAAGATGATAGCTGTGGGCTATGAAATCAGTATTGTGCACAGCTATCGTAATGAATCCATTCTACTAATATTAACATTATTCCATCTATGTTTGTATTTTAATTTGACAAACTATTTATATTTCTTAATGTTCATTATTCTCAACATCCTTCACAACATTCTTTTATTGATTCACTTCAATTTCAAGCGTTGATCAGTTCAGGCATACCTAACGCAACACTTTTTTTTTAAATAGTAACATTATTCGGAAAACAATTGAATTTTTCTTGTTCTCCAGTTTCTTTTTATAGAGAATTTGTTAATTTTAGTAACTCGAAATTCAAATATTTATAGTTTTGTTTGTAACAAAAAAATTTTCGTTTCAAAGTTTGTGTTTTTAATTAAATTTTTTGCGCATAAATCAGAATCTCATCTTATTATGAAGTTTTTTAAAAAGATTATTAAACATGAGTATCAATTGGTAATTGATATTTCTGTAAAACTATTTTCATTATTTGATTGAGATCATAAGCCGATTGATGTTAGACCACCGTTGGAAACCTGAAAGCACTGGACGGTTGTTTCGTCCTATTGTAGGACTCCTAAGCAGTGTGCATCCACGATCCCGCTAGCGGGATTCAAACCCAGAACCTTCAGTCTCGCGCGTGAACGCTTAGCCTACTAGACCACTGAGTCGGCATCTAATGGTGTTAGTGTCTAACATCAACCAATCAACGTAATTGCGCAACTGTCTTCCATTGTACTGAGGTAGATACCTGTCTCTACCCCACACGGATTAGCTCCACTGTTCATGGCTTCTCACTAGAACTCCGAGAATTACCTCGCAAAGCTAGTCACTAATAAGTACATGTTATTTATCATTATAGGGGTTGTGGGAATTAAGTTCGCGCGCGAGACTAAAGGTCCTGGGTTCGGATCCCGCTAGCGGAATCACCGATGCGCACTGCTGAGGAGTCCCACAATAGGACGAAACAACCGTCCAGTACTTCCAGGTTTCCAACGGTGGTCTAACATCAGTCGGTTCATGATCTCAATGGAAAAACTTAATTATCTCCACAACTTCTATGCTGGTATTTTCGTCATCTCTTTCTCTTGGTAATGGTACGATTGTTTTATGAATATCTAATCAAGTTTTATATTCTGTTTAGATGCGTTGATAAGAGATCATTATATGATTGCGATAAGTTATTTAGTAAAAATGTTCAGTTCACATATTAAGAAGAAACTTATTCTATTTCGAACCCAGGACCTACTGGTTTCGCGCGCGAGCACTTAACCACTAGACCACTGAGCCGGCATCCAACGGTGTTAATGTCCAGGTTTTCCATGGTGGTCTAGCTTCAACTGACTCATGATCTTAATTATTGAAATTACTACAATCTCGACAAAACCCCTTCTGATAATAAGAAAAAGATGTTGACTATCCAGTTAACTATGTGCTGTACATACACACTAAATACGTCTTCCATTTGTATGTGCAGTAATGATGACATTGATTTATAGAACAAAGCATCATCTTTATACCAAACCAGTAATAGTTTATTATAACAATTACATTGGCTGGTTGAAATGTATCTCCAATACCTAATATTTGCTATTACTATCAATGTTGTTACTCCCTCCACCACATTAGAATTCGATCTGACAATTTCATGTCATTGCGCCAATTAGGGTGTGCGGTATGTATTTAAACATATCGGTTTCTACTTTGTGTATAGTTGACTGACAGATGAAAACTCATTTATTAGGGATCATAAAGCAATCAACGTTAAGTCAATTTTTAAAACTTGAAAGCACTGGACAGGCGTTTCGTCCTTGCATGAGGCTCCTCAGCACCGCTGGAGAGCCCAATACTGATAACAAGTGGTTAACATTTCATAACAACAATAAAAACTGCTTAAATTTAATAAATCATTGGTATTTATTAAATTGCAGAATAATAAATACTAATCTCATTCTTTTTATTCTTGTAGAGACCAAAAAGCCGATGAGATTCGTTTACGTGCACATGTCAAATAAGAATGATTCATTAATTAAGCAACCACATTTTATTTAATCGCAAAAAAAAAAAACAACTATCGTGGTTAATGCTATTCAATGTGTAGATGCACACAAAATGCTTGCTGGTGTAATTATTAAACAATCTGCTCATATCTGCATAGTTTTATTCACTTCACTTATTCAGTACAGTTGAATTCTTTTCTCTGACTATGTGCATATTCGTTTCATTACCATTATTTTCTAACCGTTTTTTTTTAATTTTAAAAAACAAAATCGTTAGAATCTCACTTTAGTGAAAAATTTTTGATCTATCTGTTTCGCAATACCCCCTACCGCCATCGTCTACTCTCTTTCTCTCCTTCTCTCTTACACATTTTACGTTCAGTGGTTTGATAATCATTTTCTGTTGTGTAGTTCCGATATTTGTTCGATGGTCATTTAAATTTATAATATTGTTTCTGTTCATCAATCAATCAGTCAGTTAATCGATCAACCAACTAATGATACACATACACATGTTATTCTGTCCAGTTCATTATTATTTCCACACACACACACACACACACAAAGAAAACATTACTTTTTGTCATCATAATTTATAATGCGCATTATTATTATTATTTTTTGTTCTCTGCTTAACCCTTATCTTAAAATGATTGTCAATAATGATTATTTTATATGAAAGTATAGATCACCATGGTTTTAATGAAATGCATTGAATGTTTTATGTGAGTATAGAAAGTTAATCGAGATTTTCTCGTTCCATAGATTCATTTTGTTTTGTGATTATTATTATTATTATATGTTGTTTAATACATCTTAATTTATTTTACAGACAAATATAAACACTGGATGATCTGCATGAACTTTTAGTATATATGAAGTGACCTAAATTTCATTGATATTACCGTTTGTGTTATTGTGAAAATTGACAATATATGTAGATAAAGTACGTAAAATATGGTATTCATTATATTATATATGGGTTGGTAGATGAGTATGTTTTTTTTGTAACTAGCTTTTATGAAAATTGTATATTCGATTATGTATCAAGTTTGTAATCCTATAACACTTAAACTAAAGTTAATAGCTCCTATTCGAGCCGTAAAGGGGCTTGTGTTCTTAAATGATAATACGATATATCCGACCGAGATTCAAACTTAATCATCGGTATTGTATTTATTCCTTCCGTATTAGTGATTGTGAAGTTTTCAATTGGTACCGTGTACTCTTAACAATTACTGTACACAAAATACCTGTGTCTTGATAAGTGCTTTTAGTAATTTGATAGTTAATGCCCTTGTTACGTCTATTTAGAATCATAAGACAGTCATATATCGACAGGCTTACGGTGAGGTCATCAAGTCAGCACATTTGCATTCATGTGCTACAACCTATGCTATCGAAAAGGCTAATCGATTAAATAAAACCCAAATTTAGGGTAGTCATTTTGATCTAAGTAATGTAGTTAATATCGATTAGGAAGGGATGTACGAAGTGTGATGGAATGACACGTCAACTTTTAAAGGGTTGACGAACGATATTCAGTAACCAGTTGAGGTCAATCCGGTCCTATTTCAACGAGCAGGCTAGCTATGTCAATGTTTACCTCTAATTTGTGATGTGCATGTTACTTACTTACTTACTTACGCCTGTTACTCCTCTCAAATTAGCATAGGCCGCTCACCAGCATTCTCCATCCAACCCTGTCCTGGGCAATCCTTTCAAGCTCTTTCCAGTTCTTATTCATCCCTTTCATATCCGCTTTTATTTCCCGACGTAATGTGTTCTTTGGCCTTCCACTTTTCCGCTTCCCTTCAGGATTCCAAGTTAGCGCTTGTCTCGTAATGCAGTTTGATGATTTCCTCAATGTATGTCCTATCCATTTCCATCGTCTTTTCCTAATTTCCTCTTCAGCTGGAAGCTGGTTGGTTCTCTCCCACAAAAGGCTGTTGCTGATGGTATCCGGCCAATGGATGTTGAGTATCATGCGTAGACAGCTATTAATAAATACCTGTACCTTCTTGATGGTGGTTGTTGTAGTTCTCCAAGTTTCAGCTCCATACAGTAGAACTGCCTTGACGTTCGTATTGAAGATTCTGACTTTGATATTGGTTGAAAGTTGTTTTGAGTTCCATATGTTCTTCAGTTGAAGGAATGCCGCTCTAGCTTTGCCAATCCTCACCTTGACGTCTGCATCTGAACCTCCTTGTTTATCGACGATGCTTCCCAGGTATGTGAAGGATTCCACGTCTTCCAGAGTTTCGCCATCAAGAGTGATTGGATTGCTGTTCTCCGTGTTGTGTTTGAGGACCTTGGTTTTCCCTTTGTGTATGTTGAGGCCTACTGATGCAGAGACTGCTGCTATGCTGGCTGTCTTTATCTGCATTTGTTCGTGTGTATGTGATAGGAGGGCTAGGTCATCTGCGAAGTCCAAGTCGTCTAATTGGTTCTGAGCTGTCCATCGTATGCCGTAGTTTCTCTCAGATGTCGAGGTCTTCATAATCCAGTCGACCACCAGAAGAAACAGGAAGGGAGAGAGTAGACAGCCTTGTCTTACTCCGGTCCTTACTTAGAATGCGTCTGTCAGCTGTCCTCCATGCACTACTTTGCACTGTAGTCCATCGTATGAGTTCCGGATAATGTTGACAATCTTCTCGAAGAAGTTTCCATAACGTCCTCCTATCTACACTGTCAAATGCCTTCTCATAATCAATGAAGTTGATGTAGAGTGACGAGTTCCACTCAATTGATTGTTCGACGATGATCCGTAGTGTCGCAATCTGGTCTGTGCACGACCGGTCCTTACGGAATCCAGCTTGTTGATCTCGAAGTTGAGCGTCTACTGCGTCTTTCATCCTGTTCAGTAACACTCTGTTGAAGACTTTACCCGGTATTGACAGTAGTGTAATGCCTCTGTAGTTTTCACACTTGCTCAGATCTCCTTTCTTAGGAATCTTGATGAGGTGTCCTTCTTTCCAGTCCATTGGCACTTGTTCCTCCTCTCAAATCTTTTTGAATAGAAGATGAAGCATGCTTGTAGTTACTTCGATGTCTGACTTCAACGCCTCAGCTGGTATATTGTCAGGTCCTGCTGCTTTCCCGCTCTTGATTTGTCTGACGGCCATTCTGATTTCTTCTGTCGTTGGTGGATTGACATCTATAGGGAGATCTGTGTGTGCTGCTTCGATGTCCGGTGGATTCATTGGAGCCGGCCTGTTCAGGAGTTCCTCGAAGTACTCTGCCCATCTGTTGCGCTGTTGTTGAATCTCAGTGATTGGTCTTCCTTCTTTGTCTTTGACTGGTCTCTCTGGTTTACTGTATTTCCCTGCAAGCTTCTTCGTCGTATCGTAAAGCTGTCTCATATTTCCTTCTCTTGCAGCTTTTTCCGCCGTCGTTGCTAGTTCTTCCACGTATTTTTGCTTATCAGCTCTAATGCTCTTCTTCACTTTCTTGTTTGCTTCTATTTACTCTGCTTGTGCTTGGACTTTCTCTGCTCTTGTTCGACTGTTGTTAATTGCTGTCTTCTTGTTCTTTCTTTCTTTGATCCTGTCCAGTGTTTCTGTAGAGATCCATTCCTTGTGATGATGTTTCTTGGGGCCCAGAACCTCTTGACACGTTGAAGTTAATGTTTCTTTGATACCTTTCCAGCTATCCTCCATAGTAGTTTCTTCTTCCTTCAGTAGATCCTGTAAGGCTTGGAACCTGTTGTTGAGAGCTACCTTGAATTCATTGAGTTTGTGAGTATCTCGAAGGAAGGCTGTATTGAACCTTTGTGGTGCTGTTTGTCCAGTTGTCCAGTTCTTCTTTAGCTTCAGTTTCAATTTGGCCACAACTTGGTGATGATCTGAAGCTATGTCCGCTCCTCTCCTGGTTTTCACATCTTCCATTGTCCTTCGGAACTTTTTATTGATGCAAATGTGATCTATCTGGTTCTCTGTGGTGTGGTCCGGTGAGATCCACGTAGCTTTGTGTATACGTTTGTGTGGAAATGTTGTACCGCCTATGACCAATTTATTGAATGCACACAGATTTGCAAATCTTTCCTCGTTTTCGTTTCTCTCTCCCAGTCCATGCAGTCCCATGATGTCTTCATATCCGATGTTGTCCATCCCGACTTTGGCGTTTAGATCTCCCATCAGAATGGTGAGGTCCTTTCTTGGGCACTTCTCTATGATTGATTGCAGCCTCTCATAGAATTGATCCTTAACGTCGTCGTTGCTATCATTGGTTGGTGCATAACATTGGATAATGTTCATTGTGATACCCTCCTTCTTTGATTTGAATGATGCTTTGATGATTCTGGATCCGTGAGATTCCCATCCTACCAGTGCATTTCGTGCTACTTTGGATAGCATTAGAGCAACTCCCTGAGTGTGTGGAGCATTTTCCTCTTCGTGACCGGAGTATAGCAGCATCTCTCCCGTATTTAACCTTTGTTGTCCAGCTTGGGTCAAATAAGTTTCACTGATTCCCAGCACTGCCAAGTTGTATCTTCTCATTTCCGTTGCTATTTGACTGGTCTTCCCGGTCTCCCACATTGTCCGGACGTTCCATGTACCTATAAAAATTGTTGCTCTGGTTGTTGGAAGGGGCATCGGCCTCGTGGCTTCCGAAGGAACTCGGCTTTCACCATGAAGCGTCATATTACCTCTAACTCCCAAGGCAGGGTTTAAATGGTTTGAGTTATTTTTTCTGGTTAGCGTTTTTTTAGCGAGTTAGGTTTCTACGGGATGGGGACGCTAACCCCATGCCCAACCCTCCTCCTTTACCCGGGCTTGGGACCGGCAGTAACTCTGGAAGAGCTACAGGCGGAGTTGATGTGCATGTAGTCTTGTAATAAGTGGATTAATATTTTTCGCGTGGAACAAGTGTCAGCAATCCTTTCCGTATTTCTACTTTCATCAGCTACTAAGATGAACATAGTGGTCGACTTTCTTAGTTCTTATGGTTAGATGAGGCGTCGACGCATACCATTACTGAAGCAACATACTGTATTTAGGAGAGAAACTTAAAGACCTTTCTGATACTGATAAAGTACATTATATGTGAGAAAAATTTGTCTGTTCAACTGGTTACAAAAGTTTAAGAGTGGAAGTGGCCTGCAGATAATCATTAATAGATGTTAAGAGAGACTGATATGCTACATGATAGTGGACGAGTCTGATTGTTATTGCAAAGTAAGATCAGGTGATACTTCAGTAAGCCTTAGTGATATCCTAGGAAAATTTACAGCCAGACTTCGCGCAGTATGTTAACACTTATGGCTTAATTGGTTATTTTGCAATGGTGTTTCCATACGGTAAAACGTCATGTGGGGTAATCATATTAGGTATCATTGTAGTTAAGCATATTGTTTTGGATGCCACTATATCTTTTTCCATTAAATAAACGAATTCAACCAACAAGCACTACATAGTGACTATTGGACTGCGGCAAACTAACAAATAGTAATCGAGCAAGTTAGTTCTCAACAGTTCAATGAATATTAAGAAGCATATGACATTTTTACTTACACCTGCTACCCTTCTTGCAAGAGCGTAGGTCGCCAACCACCATTTTCCATCGACCTCTGTCCTGGACAGTTGTTATTGATTCTTTCCATGTCTCGGCGCACTGTGTTCTTGGGTTTTCTACTCCAGTCAATGTTTACCTCGCGATTCGGTTTGGTGATTTCAGCAATGAATTTCCTATCGACTTCCAGCGTCTTCCCCTCATTTCCTCCTTAGTTGGAAGCTGGTATATCCTTTCTCACAGTAGGCTGTTGCCGGTGGTGTCCAACCATCGGACATTGCATTTGTTGGTGTGTATGGGATAGAATGTCCAGGTCATCTACGAAGTCCAAATCGTCTAGTTGCATGCAAGCCGTCCATTGTATTCCGTGCTTCCCCTCAGATGTCGAGGTCTTCATAATCCAGTCAACCTCCAAAAGAATAAGAAGGGAGGATTTTAGGCAGCATTGTCTGACTTCGGTCCTTACTTGAAATGCATCTATCAGCTATTCTCCACGCACCACTTTGCATTGCAGTCCGTTGTACGAATTCCTTATAATATTGAATATCTGAGGTACACTATAATGTCGAAGAAGTTTCGATATAGTCCTCTCATCCACACTATCAAACGTTTCATAGTCAATGAAGTTGATGTATAGTGACGGGTGCATTAAATTGATTGTTCAAAGATGATCCGTGGTGTCGCCATTTGGTCTGTACACGACCAATTCTTTCGATATTCAGCCTGTTGATCTCGAGGTTGGGCGTCTGTGTCTTTCATCCGGTTCAGCAACACTCTATAGAAAATCTTTCCTCATACCGATAGTAGTGTGATGCCTATGTAGTTCTCACTCAGATCTTTCTTCACTATTCTTCTTTCCAGTCCATCGGCACTTGTTCTTCCTCCCAAATCTTCCTGAATAGAACGTAAAGCATACTTGCAGTTGCTTCTATGCGTATGCTTTGGCTGATATGTTGTCAGATCCTAGTGCTTCCCACGCTTGATTTGTCTGATGGCCATGTTGATTTCTTCCGTCGTTGGTAACCAGGTGGAAATCTCAAGCTGTCAGCTCCACCCCTGGTTACCACATTCCATTGACCTTGTGAATATTTTACTGACTCAAATATAATGGACCTGGTTCTGTATACTGTGATCCGGTGAGACCCATGTAGCTTTGTGTGGAAATATTGTGCCGCCTATAACCGTGTTGTTGAATGTACAAAATTCTTGTTCCTTTCTCCTAGTCCATATCGTCCCATGATATATTTATATCCTGTGTTGTCCATTCCGACTTTGGCGTTTAGATCTCTCATCAGGTCATTTCCTGGGCACTTTTCTACAATCGACTGCAGCCTCTCGTAGAATTGACATTTATCGTCGTCGTTGCCATCATTGGTGGGCGCATAACATTCATTTTAATTCCTCCTTCTTTGTTATGAGGGATGCTTTGATGATCCTGGATCCGTGAGATTCCTACTCTATAAGTGAATTTCGTGCTTCTTTGAACAGCATCAGATCAACTCCCCGAGTGTGCGGAGCGTTTTCTCTTCATAACCAGAGTACAGTAGCATCTCTCTCGAATACACCTTTTATGTCCATTTGGGTTTCACTGATTCCGAGTTGTATCTATACATTTAGTCCTCTCGGTATCATCTTCCCCGGACATTCCATTTACCTATACTGTTTGTTACTCTGGTTGTCGGAAGGCCAATCGGCCTCATGACTTCCAAAGAATCTCGACTTTCATCATAAGGCGTCATAATCCTCCCTTTACCTCTCAGGACAGAGCTTAAGTAGTTTAATTTGTTTTAGCAAGGTTGTATTATATGCGATGGGGTTTCTAACCCATGCCGAACCCTCCTCCTTTACGCGGTCTTGGGACCGGTAATAGTTCCAGAAGAGCTGCAGTCGGAGTTTTTGGTGTCATATGTAAAACTAAAAAGGGAAATTTAATGCAATTCAACATACAGATAAGTTTGTATTCTAGATCCTGAGTAACACCCTGACTTAGTAGATCACAGTTGAGTGTCCAAATCATTGAGCTATGGCCCCATGCAATACGTAATATCCCATGTCTGTCTGCTCAGCCGTCCTTTTACCCGGTCTTGGGATCGGCGGTAACCCTAAAGGAGCTACAGGCGGACTTGGTATATTCTTAGCTATTAATGATTATGATTGTTTTCTTATTTGACTGCAGTATTACTGGTTTATAAATGATATACAATAAATTTAGCTGATTGACATATTTTGAGGACGTTTCTAAATAATCTGTATATAGTAAAAATACAGGACGCGATAAAAAACGCGGAATTATAAATCCTTGGAAGAACTTGTTATTAGGTCATATTTCCTATTCAGAGAACATGTTGCTCAGTACAAATGACATGCCTACTTCAGACATTTATTTGCAAACGATTACTGACCCCATACCATTCTATTTACAAAGGGAACAACGAAAATAAGTTTGGAATTCTACTCAATTATCATAAGTAGGACACCTAAATTATATTGGGCGGTTCCCAATCAGTGATGAGCGCAATGATATGATGTTTTGGTTACTATTGTCTTAAGCCTCTGAATGTTTAGAAAATAAAGATCTGGCCACAACGCTTAACTTTTGGGCATTGTGTCAGTCAGTTGACGCGAAGATCCGAAGTGATTCCCGAGTAACAACACTTGTAACTGCATACGATGTGCTTTCATGACTATCTTCACAGACAGGCTGGCTCTCCAGACAGACCCGGTCTGTTTTTAATTGTTGTGAACGTTTGAGCTATATGCTGCACCCAAACCGTGGTTTCTGAAATTCAGACGGGTAGACTGCGTATTCCAGATACAAAGCCTTTAGAATTATTGTTTGCGAAGTAGCTTTGATGAACGCAATACTTAAGTGAACTTCACGGAGTATTTTGACGTTCATTCCCATGTATGTTACAATTACCAGTTTCGTGCAATATTAATGTCATTCTAATGAAGCAGCTACTTACATATAAGTTCACAAAAGTACGAAATTTTGATTCAACCTTTTACTTTAAGACTGCCAATTGATACACGGTTCCAGCATCAAAACAATAAACTTGAATAAAATCAACAAGTTGGAAAATGTAGCAAACACTTCACTCATGACATATTAGAACTAACTCTTTGGTACACACATCAGTCAACTAAAACGTATGCAACTTATATTCATCGAATTGAACTTTACACGACTCCTCAGCAAATAGTAGAGAATGTGTGAGGTTCTAAACGTGACTGAATGAAGCGTCAACCTTTTACTAGGCCCAAGATGATTAAACACTTGCCAAACATGCTTAATCTCTCATAACTAGGTTTTCTGGCTAAACTAAATAAATGTGAAGTCACTAACTTCTAGTTTGAGCCATATTGGTAGACGCAGACTACTTGGTTGGGGTCCACGCGACTAGCGTGACCAATGATTGAAGACTCTTGGTGACATGGCTCAGAATCGATCACAATGGCGTAGGTGTATACACTCTCTGTCTTCCCTTAAACTATGAGATTAAAACTATTATTTCACATCTTTTTTCTGTACTATTTCCTTACATAAAATCTTTCCTTTGTATATTACACGATTGAGTTAACTGCTTCTATGAATCTGGTGTTTGTCTTGCTGTGCTAACGAGCTGTGAAAACTTGGACCGATGCACATATATGTACCTAGTCCTACGTTGTAACTAACTAACATACAAAACCTAATGAATGAATTAATCTTTAAAAAAATACCTCAATCAATAGCTTACTCTTTTATTCAATATGGATCACAATAATAGGGAAACCAAAAGATAAAGTGAAAAAAAAACAATCAATTTTATTAGTGCAGTTAAAGTTGGGGCATATTTCTCAATATTTTTGATATTCCAAGCAAAAGAGTTCCAGAATACACTTTTTTTTTCTTTATAAATAAAACAGAAATATATATGGATATTTATTTATTTGTGTTAAGTCCATGTAAATCTTGACTTAATCAGAACAACGTAAATTTATAACAAATTATCAATGAATTACTTTAGTTGTTGTTTTGTTTTTGTTTGAATTTTTGTTTGTAAGGTTTCTCAAGAAAATGCGAAGTAGAAAGATTAAGTGAAATAATACCAATAAAGAGTATTGTTATTATTATTATTATTATTATTATTAAGCAATTTAAGCAAATTAGCCGAATGCTAAAGAAATGAAGACCACTTTTTTTTAATCATCATCACGATCACGTCTCTAAAAGAAAAAAAATTGATACTATAAAATTAGATCTATTCAATAATTCATTTGAAAATTAAAATATATAAACGCTTTTGATGGAGTTTTGTTCTTCTGAACGATGAAAGCTTCACGACCAAACCATCCAGCTCAGAGAACAAAACTCCATCAAAATCATCCACCTCAGCTACAAATCTTCCCCACCATCTATATAGACGCTTTTAATCTAGTAGTAATTATACGTAATATGACCACATCGTTAATAACATTTACCGTACAATTATTTAGCTTGTGTAAAAGTTCATGGTACTCGGAAACGAAAAAGCCATACACAATAGGATTATTACTATCATGCAGGCCCCCAAATGCCCTGGTATGGCCGAGAGTGGGGTGGGTTCGCCCTCCCTCTCGAAATGCTCTCACACGGCCACGCGTATATAGCCTCTGCCAGGAAAGTCCTACTCACTGCCTTCTCGTGGCGGTAGTGTTGTTTACGAAAATGAGAGGACGAAATGCGAATGTCCGGCGCTATAACCGGATCCCAAATCAATGGTGCAAATGGGCCGGCTCCAGTATCCTGAGGGAACAAAAGGCGTATGAACCAATCGTTGGTCACCGGCTACCATGGGACTGCATCTCCTCACGATGCTTCACTGCCTTGTGGATCAGACCTTTAGGTCGACGGCTCGGGTTGTGGCCCCCTAAGAAAACTACTTGCTTCGGTCTGGGCACCCGGGCAATATCTCAGCCTACACACAAAAGTGTGGCGCATATATATTTGGTGCCCTCTTGTACCAATATTAATGTGTTTAAATAAATAAATAATAAAATAATCATGCAGTAAATAATTGGTGGAAGTACTAGGTGAAATACAATAAATACCTGTATAGAACTTTAATCACTTGCAATAATAAGAATATACGGCTCTATTCATTACAGTGTTCTCTTATGTTAAACGTTGGGAAGTAGACAGCAAAACTTTTAACTCACAATTCACATGCAAAATATCATAATGAGATATGGAACTACGAACATACCCTTTTAGAGTTGAGAATTACAAGAAGATGACGGAATATTTCGACAAAATCAATAAACAAATCCAACGTGTGCCTGAAACAGGACAGAAAATAACGAAAATTGAGAAAACGTTTAGTGAACACTTCATAATATTTTACCTTTAGTCTCAATATGTAACTTGTGATAGTCAGGTGAATATCCTAGAGTCTAATGTTGAGTGAAGGTTTTATTTCTAAGACGTATACTGGACCTACATTCACTGATATCCACATGATTGACTTGTAGGTCAGTAATAGCGAACCCAAAACAAACAAGTTTTCAGTCTGGCAGATAAGGTATCAATCTGTCCAGTAGTTGACATCTAATCAGATGATGAAACAGACTTTAATACTAACTGGTGTCGAACGTCAAACTTGAAAGTGGTTATTAACACGGTTTATTTTGATAATCATTTATTGGTATAGCTTCATACTAAGTATATCACAATGACTAGGTAATTTGTGTTTGATGCACAAGTCTGGTCACGATCACAAGTCACCTCTGCCATTACCATGTCCCGGATATTGGGATTTTACAGCTGTTGGATTATTTAAGCTTTTCAACAGTTGAACTTCTATCATTTGGTATATTGAAAATTTATCGTCTTAAAGCGGTATCCATTTTTAAAAACATTACACAGTATAATCCTATTTATGACCTTATCTTACTGAGAGATTTCAGGTCTACACTATGATATGATATTCTAGAAAAGGAGTCGGTATCGAACTGAACATAGTTGCGAAATTTCTATATGTAAATTATTCAAACTGAACACTCAAGCTTTTAAACAGGTTGAAATCGAACCAGATAGCAGTTACTGGAAGCTGTTGCACAAAGAAATTTATACCTGAATGAAAGCGATATGTTAACTACTAATTTTTAAAATTCCGATTTTTTTTGTTTTGATTTATCTACTGGTGGGTGAACAAGTTGGCCTTATTATCTTGAATAGAATGTAAATTTGAGTTAGTGTCATGTTGCATTTAGCTCTTCATTGCAATGAATGTCATTTACTATCTTATACTCTTTATCATGTTAATATTCTCTTTTGCATTGTAACAACCTGAATAAACAAGCATTCGTGTCAGCCTTTGATTGATATGTTGCATTAATCCCGACTAGATATGCAGATTGTATAATTTTTGTATGAATTCTGAGGTTAATCAATAGTGAAAGCTCTACCATGTAACTCAGTCAACTCACCATACGAAATCAGTATCCCCATTACGGCGCTTTTCAACAATTAATTGGGTATCGAAAACCACAAATGCACAAAATATAGCCAATCCAATGTACAGTTCAGCGGTGTATATGGCCGGAGAACGGATAAATAAGTTCATGAAGCTAAATGTTGTCAGCAAACTGATTGCAGACATCAAGGCAGCTATGGGACAAAAAAAAATCCCAATGCAACAACATGAAAAAATCGTATTAGCAATAGAACTACAACTTTTTATATATCCCAGTTAGCTATTATTTAAGTTTTCGTTCCGCTGTGATGAGAAATATTCACCTCTAACAAACTTCATTTGTATAGATTGTAAGCAACTGAGAGAAGCCAAACAAACAAAATGAAATCCTGTCATTCTACTCAAAACTTTATTCTTACTACTCTTAAGCATGAGACATTACCAAATTGTTTCTTTATCACTAGTTATATACTATTAAAGTCTTCGCTCATTTTGCAAGTTAGAACTCCGTCTCACTTCAATTTGGGAAAATAGGTAGCATTAATAGTCATCAAACCTAGATTATAACTCGGAGTTAAATACAAGAATCTGTACCCGTGAGATAAGCAGTAGACTAGATCAGATGTGAACACCGGAAACTGAGACTAAATAATCAGTGTGGAGAACAATTTCCTAGCTAATAAAGACAATAGTTTTGATTTCGAAATGACTGATGAAAGCTAGGATTTAGATTGGTTCACCAGGGTGCTTGGTACCTGTGTGGCTGCGCCACAGGATTGAGCTGTACTATTCAGATTGTAGCGTTAAAGCCTATACCGTGTCTGGCTCTCCTGTTAAACGGGCTTGGGCCGTAGTACTGTTTGGGTTGTCACGTGAAAGCCTGGACGGTTTCTGGTTCTCCTGAAAACCAATGTAAAATTACCCTGGCCCACAAGGGTACATTATATAACTGTGAAGCTCCCAAATGCCCTGGGCCCGCCCTCCCTCTCGAAATGCTCTCACCTGGCCGCGCGTATATAGCCTCTGCCAGGAAAGTCCTACTCACTGCCTTCTCGTGGCGGGGGTGTTGTCTACGAAATTGAGAGGACGAAATGCGAATGACCGGCGCTATAACCGGATCCCAAATCAATGGTGCAAATGGGCCGGCTCCAGTATCCTGAGGGAACAAAAGGCGTATGAACCAATCGTTGGTCACCGGCTACCATGGGACTGCATCTCCTTACGATGCTTCACTGCCTTGTGGATCAGACCTTTAGGTCGACGGCTCGGGTTGTGGCCCCCTTACACAACAACCTGCTTCGGTCTGGGCACCCGGGTAGTATCACAGCCCACACACAAATATTTGGTGACCTCTTGTACCAATACTTATGTGTTCAAATAAATAAATAAGAATTTAGATTTAACTGATAATTCATTGTCGGAACAACAGTAGCACTCACAGTATCACAACTAGCGAGCCTTCGATATTAAGGTGTCCGTCATCAGGGGTGACTTGATAATTATAATATTCAAATAACAAAAGGTATAAACAAATAAACGGATTGAACTTCATATATTACTCAATAAAATAACACATTCGGTTGTAATAAATAGCTTTCGGTCACTCGAAAGTGGAATTCTAATATAAAAACACTGTCCATAGACAGACACTGTTGTGAGATGCCACAGAGTTTGACAAGGCAAGATCTCTTCTGCTCATTAAATTATGATAAAGATTATCTGACGCAGTGATCGGTTTCGATATAAGTTAACCCAATTAATAACCCTGATTTATGATAGCTTAAAAAAGCGGTAAGCAGCACACATCTACTATACCTTAATAACAGAGTCGTATTATTGGTTGGTATGGATATATTTTAGCACTATAAACAATTCGCTTCATACAAAGGGTGTAAGACCAAAATAATCTATGATAGGGGTATTATGATGTTTGAAGTGCCAAGTGCAAACTCATATACAACTTCAACATGAAATACATCAGTATTTGCAGTTACACATGATTGTTGGGTGAGAAAGCACATAAAACAAGGCACTTAAATCATTAATGAAACAAGAAAAAGTTACAAACTCACCACCAAGATAAATGTAATATCGTTTTCGTGTAAGCAGTGCTGTTAGAGTGAACGAGACGAAAATCAAGGCAGTGCCCAGAAGGGCAGTCGGAATAGTATCAGGACTGATTACTGACAAAGCTTGAAGAAGTGGACCGAAACCAATACCTAAAATGAAAACAAGTAAATAGAATCTTCATGACAGGATTTATTTTTATTTATTTGAACACATAAATATTGGTACAAGAGGGCACCAAATATAAACATATATGCATGGTGAGATGAACTAGTCTTATGCATTTAACTGATATAAACTACCATTCACCATGATTGACGTGACTGCACTTTAAATACTGATAAAAAGGTTTTATCCTAAGACACTGATATTCTAAGAAAGGCAAATTTAAACAGCTTCTATAGGTTTGTAGAGATCCTTGGTCGGGTCGTGGACAATTACTGCTGAGTCTTTTACTAGGCTGAAGTAGCTGGTCAGTGGTTCTTGGATTTCTAATAGCTGCCTGACTAATCCGTTTGTAATGTAAACTATCAAACAGTTTCGTTGGGAAAGCTACTTTATGCTGCTAGGTGGAATGAAGCGAAATAGACATGATGAGTCGAGTAAGTATGTATCAATGTAGCATGGACTAATTAAACGCCTATAAAAAGCAAACAATTTACTCGAGATGAATTAACCTGGGTCAGAGCTAAGAAATGAACTTATGTAGTTCGTAACACGTCAGGAACCAGTTACTTGGAAAGTGATGACTAAAATCTAATCCAAATTAATAGGACCTGCTTGCACTAAAAGTCCTTACAAGTAGAGTATTATATCATTTTACTTATATCTGTTGCATTCCTACGTTATCCTAAACGATTCTTTATGAGAAGGTTCAACGATAACATTGTCGTGTTACGGATTGAAGAAAAACGAGATAGGTAAACTGACACCACCTTTCAGAACTACACTCACGACAAGAAACTCTTACCTGTAGAGAAACAGAACAAGAAGAAAGCACCAAGTCTAGAATGAAGGGTTTCTCTTGAGTGTTGTGTGAAATAAATGAACAAAGAGCTTCCAAGGGATAAAATGAATGACAAGACCACCAGAGAAGTTGTAATCGACTAAAAAATAATGAAAAAAGTATTACGAAAAGTGACCACAATATTATGTGTGATATAGTGCATAGAAAATTATGACAAACTACGGCAAGATTTATTATTTTATTTTAACACATAGGTATTGGAACAAGGAGGCACCAAATACATATGCACCACACAAATCTCATTTGAGTTGTGTGAGGGCTGTGATACTGCCCGGGTGCCCAAAACGAAGCAGGTGGTTTTCTTAGGGGGCCACATCCCAAGCCTTTGACCTGAACGTCTGATCCACAAGGCAGTGGAGCATCGTGAGGAGATGCACTCCCATGGTAGCCGGTGACCAACGATTGGTTCATACGCCATTTGTTCCCTCAGGATACTGGAGCCGGCCCATTTGGGATCCGATTACAGCGCCGGACATTCGCATTTCGTCCTCTCATTTTCGTAAACAACACCCCCGCCACGTGAAGGCAAGATACAGCAAATGCATCTGCGTCATTAAGATCGGTCAAGAAATGTCATCAATTGCCTTCAAACAATGAACGCCACTGCTGTATCGATTCAAACCAGACGGACACAACTCAATTCGACAGTTATTGATCTCCCTGATTTATGTTAAACCTTGTATTGATGCCCCAACCTCCACAAATCAGTGGATAACGCATATAACTGATCTTCGGAAAAGCCTAATGCTCCAGCTTCATCAACCTAAGACAGTTTAAGTTAGAGTTTGGAAAGGACAGGAGGCTTGATGGCCTGTGTTAGTCCTGGCAATTGTGTTCTCTCAGTTGATCCAACTTTCTTTTCAAAGAATCTACGGATGGAGCTTCAAACACGTATTGAGGTAATGAATTCCACTCGTTGATGATTCGGTGGGAAAGTCGATAATCAGCTGACAAGTAATTTGTTCTGGGCTTGTGAACTTTTTTGGAGTGTCCTCGTAAATTCTCTGTTTTGGAAGACAGGAAAAATGAGGGCATATCAGGTGCAAATTTATCACTAAGCAATTTGAAAACTGTAATCAAGTCGCCTCTAGTTCTACGATATGACAAAGGGAATAGGTTTAGCTTGGCCGGTCGAGCATCATACGGAAGCTTCGCTATTACGGGAATAAGCTTAGTTGCTGTTCTCTGGACCTTTTCCAAAAGCTCACTGTCTTTTTTTAAACAGGCGCTAGCCGCTTGAATGCAGTGCTCAAGTTTAGGACGTACGAACACTGTATACAAAGTCAAAAACGTTTGAGCGTCGACATGAGTAAAAGCCCTACGTATTGACCATAAAGTTCTAAAAGCTTTGGCGGCTATTGCACGGCAGTGTGCAGTAGTCTTCAGATCTTGGCTAACGATGACTCCTAAGTTATTTATGTGTCTGGACAACAGGTAGCTCAGTGTTATTCATGGTGTATTTATCTGAATCTTGATGACCGATATGCATCACAACACACATGGAAGTATTTATCGGCAGCTGCCATGTATGAGACCATTCGGATAATTTCTTCAGGTCATTTTGGAGTTCTAAGCTATCACCCTTACATCGTATCGTTCTCCATATCTTGACATCGTCAGCATATAGCAAGACCGATGATGATAGTAAGCGAGGAAGGTCATTTACATACAAGAGGAATAGCACTGGCCTCAAAACTGTACCCTGGGGCACTCCACTAAGCACAGTTTCCCAGCTAGATAATTTTGAGTTTACCCGTACTCTTTGTTGGCGCCGAACAAGGAAGTCTTCTATCCACGTCAATAGGTTGCCTCCAATTCCGACACCTTTTAGCTTATATAACAGCCGGTTGTGCGGAACCTTGTCAAAAGCTTTGCTGAAATCAATGTAAGCCACGTCTACAGGTAACTTTTGGTCCTCAAAAGCGCACCAGCTTTCTCGAGTGACTAATAAGTTAGTGAGACAAGAATAACCTATTCTGAAACCGTGCTGTTTCTCCGAGAGGATTCGGTTTACATCGAGGTATTTAAACAGCCCTTTCCGAACAATCTTTTCTACGATTTTAACAACCACACTAGTTAGGCTAACGGGTCGGTAATTCTCAGGTTAATGTTTCGTACCTGTTTTGAAGACAGGACTTACTATGGTGTTCTTCCAGTCTTTTGGTAAACGACCCTGCGTAACGGATAGCTTAAAGCATATACTTAAAGGGTTCGCAATGAAGTTAGATAATTCCTTTAGTAGCCTAGGATGCAATTCATCGGGCCCCATGGATTTACCTATGTCAAGCTTATTTAGCAGATCAAAGACATCGAGTTCATTTATGGTCACACTATCCAGTGTATGTGTGTGGGGGGGTTTGTATGCGCTGACGGGAAGGATGCTTCTATGGTATATACATTGCTAAAGTAGTTTGAGAACACTTGAGCCTTACCAAAGTCATCTTCCACTAATGATGCGGCAGTACTGTCTCCCCATAGTGCAGGAATAATTCCTCTTCTTTTTGTCCTTTGGTTTATATAGGAATACAGGCGTTTAGGACATTCTATGGATTCCTTAACAATTTTTTCTTCGTACAGCTTTCTAGACTTACGGAGAGTCGAGGCACAGGTATTCCTAGCTTTTCGGTACTGAGATTTTCTCATCAGTCCCCAGTAGCCTAAATCTATCCCACATTTTTCTTTTCTTACGGAGAAGGATGCGGACCTCCTTATTGAACCATGGTGGGGAGTTTCTCGGCCCCCTTGGTATAGTCCAAGGAATGTGGGGTGCGGTAACTTTTAAGTATAAATTTCGGAATGCATCCCAAGCCGTTTCAATTGAGGACTCTGGGTCTATTGTCCAATCTACTAATGATGCCGAGTGCATGATATCTGGTATGCTTGCTTTCCAGACGTTAGGTCTGGATTGAGTTGACGCTTGCTCGTGATTGACAGTTATATGGAAGTCAAAAGTTAAAACTGCATAATCACTTTTACCTAGGGGTGGCATGTAAAGGAGGTCCGATTTGTACCTGCAAAACCTAGACGTTGTCACCAACTAGAACATGACTCTCAAAACGATGTTATGAGCCATGACTTTGTTAATAATAATCATACCACCGAGAGTATACAGAGAACCACCGTTCAAAAAGGACAGTGGTATTTTTCCTCGCTGAATAAATTCTATTGTTTTGATCGTTTATACGTATCAATACTACTGTTTTTCACTTTAATTGAGTTTCTTTCAGTTAAAGGATTCGATTAGATTATCGTTTTTCTTTCTAAAGTATTTTTGTTATCAGTACTTTTGAGTACTCTGTTTTTTTTTATAGTATCTGTTAGTACTTTTGGTTCTAATGATCCAGTTTTCCACTTTGTTTGGTCATAGATTATTTTTTGTCCCTGAGTATTTTTGCATCTAGTTCTTTCTAAAAAAAACCCGTGTTTAAATGACTTGAAAGTGCAAAAAAAGTAATTGCTAACGCCTGGGCTGCCGTTATCCTGTTGAAAGCGGCATGCAGAGCGATGAGTGCAAAGGATGGTACCACGAAGTTTGCACAAATTTAACGCCTGCAGCTTTCAAACGGTTCAGTAGGAATGGTTGCGTATGGCTCTGTCAACAGTGCTGTTCGGATGCCAACTGCCTGCTAACCAAGGCCATCTCATTGATTAGTGCTGCTAAAAAATGTTTTGGCAAGAGTGGTCGTGACACATCAAGTACTCGCTCCGTTGACACGCAAATTGGCGTGAGGCAAACTAAAGTGTGTTCGAAAACAGATGACTCGCACCGACCAAAGGAGGGAGAACAGTACCCAAAGACTTCTGTCCGCACAAAAAACTCAAGGAAAAAAGTTTCTTCTGTCCCACGTCCTCAAAATGGTATCCAAAAAGAAACACATAGAAGCCGCAACCGCAAGGCTTGATCAGTTTCTAAAGGGACACCAAACCTGACCTCCCAAGTCATCGAAAACCCTCCGGAATCCCACAGTATTTTTGACGCGACTGTGGTTGCTTCTCCAAGCAACGTTGACGAATGGGTACAGGTTGTGAGGAAGAAACAGAAAAACGATATAAAAGGGAACCCTGCCCCCACAAAAGTAGTCGAACAAATCGAAGGCTGATCACAGTAACAGATCAGTCATTTTTCATAGGATCAAGGAGAGTGGAAGCTATGAACCAAAAACTCGTTTTGAGCATGACATTGTCCTGATAAAACAGCTACTTAATCAACTCATGCCTCAAAATATCTCCGGAGTCACCTTGCTAAAGGTGTATAGACTAGGTAGTTTAGCGAACTTAAAGCCTAATCAATCTAGACTGCTTAAAGTAGTTTTCAAATCTTCGAATGAAAAAGATTTAATTTTACAGAATGGGCATAAATTAAAGGGTTCGGGAGTTTTTATCCGAAAGGACTTGCCGTTGGCAGACCGTGTAAAAAGACGGGAAGCCGAAAAAGAACTACAAATGATTTTAGACGCTGGCGAAAACGACCTGAAAATTGTAAATCTTCGGATTGTGAGGCTTCGTCAGAGAATGATACAGAAGTCACTCTGGGTGAAACACGAAGCCACTTAAATAGGCTTCGGATCTGTTACAATAATGCCCGAAGCTTGCTCAATAAGCTATCGGAACTAGGTGAACAGATTGACTCTACAGAACCAGACATAATCGCAGTCACAGAAACCTGGCTGACACAGTCTATAGATAATATGGAACTCGATTTTGAGGGTTTTACTATAGTAAGGACCGACAGAATACATAAGCGTAAAGGAGGGGGAGTAGCCCTATTCATTAGGAATGCTATCCCATTTGTCATTATTGATAATGTATCCCATGAAAGTGGGACGTGTGAATTGGTTAGTTGCCGTTTGAAATTCAAGGGGCAAGAGCTGCTAATTGGTTTGGTTTATCGCAGTCCAAGCTGTGAGGTAAATGATGTCCTGTTAAACAGGCTCAAAAATTGGTCGCGAAGTGGTCGATGTCTAATCATAGGGGACTTTAATGCACTTATGGTAGACTGGGGAAATCTGCGAACCGAATCATCAGATAATTCCTTCAAGCAGGAACTAGTTGATGCGGTTATAACATGTACCCTAGTGCAACATCTGAAGGAGGGACTAGGTACGACCCGGACACTGAATCATCCTTACTAGGCCTTATATTAACTATGAGGATGACGTTGCGAACCTCCTTTACATGCCACCCCTAGGTAAAAGTGATTATGCAGTTTTAACTTTTGACTTCCATATAACTGTCAATCACGAGCAAGCGTCAACTCAATCCAGACCTAACGTCTGGAAAGCAAGCATACCAGATATCATGCACTCGGCATCATTAGTAGATTGGACAATAGACCCAGAGTCCTCAATTGAAACGGCTTGGGATGCATTCCGAAATTTATACTTAAAAGTTACCGCACCCCACATTCCTTGGACTATACCAAGGGGGCCGAGAAACTCCCCACCATGGTTCAATAAGGAGGTCCGCATCCTTCTCCGTAAGAAAAGAAAAATGTGGGATAGATTTAGGCTACTGGGGACTGATGAGAAAATCTCAGTACCGAAAAGCTAGGAATACCTGTGCCTCGACTCTCCGTAAGTCTAGAAAGCTGTACGAAGAAAAAATTGTTAAGGAATCCATAGAATGTCCTAAACGCCTGTATTCCTATATAAACCAAAGGACAAAAAGAAGAGGAATTATTCCTGCACTATGGGGAGACAGTACTGCCGCATCATTAGTGGAAGATGACTTTGGTAAGGCTCAAGTGTTCTCAAACTACTTTAGCAATGTATATACCATAGAAGCATCCTTCCCGTCAGCGCATACAAACCCCCCCACACACATACACTGGATAGTGTGACCATAAATGAACTCGATGTCTTTGATCTGCTAAATAAGCTTGACATAGGTAAATCCATGGGGCCCGATGAATTGCATCCTAGGCTACTAAAGGAATTATCTAACTTCATTGCGAACCCTTTAAGTATATGCTTTAAGCTATCCGTTACGCAGGGTCGTTTACCAAAAGACTGGAAGAACACCATAGTAAGTCCTGTCTTCAAAACAGGTACGAAACATTAACCTGAGAATTACCGACCCGTTAGCCTAACTAGTGTGGTTGTTAAAATCGTAGAAAAGATTGTTCGGAAAGGGCTGTTTAAATACCTCGATGTAAACCGAATCCTCTCGGAGAAACAGCACGGTTTCAGAATAGGTTATTCTTGTCTCACTAACTTATTAGTCACTCGAGAAAGCTGGTGCGCTTTTGAGGACCAAAAGTTACCTGTAGACGTGGCTTACATTGATTTCAGCAAAGCTTTTGACAAGGTTCCGCACAACCGGCTGTTATATAAGCTAAAAGGTGTCGGAATTGGAGGCAACCTATTGACGTGGATAGAAGACTTCCTTGTTCGGCGCCAACAAAGAGTACGGGTAAACTCAAAATTATCTAGCTGGGAAACTGTGCTTAGTGGAGTGCCCCAGGGTACAGTTTTGAGGCCAGTGCTATTCCTCTTGTATGTAAATGACCTTCCTCGCTTACTATCATCATCGGTCTTGCTATATGCTGACGATGTCAAGATATGGAGAACGATACGATGTAAGGGTGATAGCTTAGAACTCCAAAATGACCTGAAGAAATTATCCGAATGGTCTCATACATGGCAGCTGCCGATAAATACTTCCATGTGTGTTGTGATGCATATCGGTCATCAAGATTCAGATAAATACACCATGAATAACACTGAGCTACCTGTTGTCCAGACACATAAATAACTTAGGAGTCATCGTTAGCCAAGATCTGAAGACTACTGCACACTGCCGTGCAATAGCCGCCAAAGCTTTTAGAACTTTATGGTCAATACGTAGGGCTTTTACTCATGTCGACGCTCAAACGTTTTTGACTTTGTATACAGTGTTCGTACGTCCTAAACTTGAGCACTGCATTCAAGCGGCTAGCGCCTGTTTAAAAAAAGACAGTGAGCTTTTGGAAAAGGTCCAGAGAACAGCAACTAAGCTTATTCCCGTAATAGCGAAGCTTCCGTATGATGCTCGACCGGCCAAGCTAAACCTATTCCCTTTGTCATATCGTAGAACTAGAGGCGACTTGATTACAGTTTTCAAATTGCTTAGTGATAAATTTGCACCTGATATGCCCTCATTTTTCCTGTCTTCCAAAACAGAGAATTTACGAGGACACTCCAAAAAAGTTCACAAGCCCAGAACAAATTACTTGTCAGCTGATTATCGACTTTCCCACCGAATCATCAACGAGTGGAATTCATTACCTCAATACGTGTTTGAAGCTCCATCCGTAGATTCTTTGAAAAGAAAGTTGGATCAACTGAGAGAACACAATTGCCAGGACTAACACAGGCCATCAAGCCTCCTATCCTTTCCAAACTGAAACTGGATACTTTTATGGAGGGTTATAAATAACAATCGGACGATTCACATGTGTCAGTAGTGTCACTTATAGATAAGACGGCTGTACATTTTCCGGTAGCATTAAACATTAAATGGACTTTATTGATTAGTAAATGAATAGAGTAAACTGTATTACTGTGAATCCAAATAGTAATACTTTTATTGCTATTACGTAATCGTAAAACTATAAACCAGTGTGTAGTACTACACACTGGTTTATAGTTTTATCACACAGGACTGATTAGTAACAGTAACCAGTCCTTGACTTAACTAGAATTTAATATAAACATAACTCACCTGCAGAAAAGAGTTTATTTGGAATAGATATGCCCCAACACATGATATTATCATACCAACAGAGAGTGTACTGTATACGTTCTTAAGATGGACTTGAACATTTTTGTCACTGAGGTGGAATAAAGATGAGTAAGCACGAAAAACTTACAGATCTCGAAAATTAAAAACAGACCCCAGATTCATTCTCTGGGAATGTGAATAGCGCGACATAACCAACGGAATATACGTGTACTAAGAACGATAAGAGCTTTTTAAAACAAGGGCGTACAAATTTCAACAGCTTCCTTTCACAGTACATTCATATTTCAATATAATTGAACGGGGTTAGTGTAAGCTGATTTACATTGGAATCAGAGTATAACTTATGTTCTTCGATAATGTCCAGTATGATGAATCAACATGATCTGGCAAAATATTTTTTGAATTTATATGTAGTGTTCAAACAGTTCTAACTGTTGTACACGAAAAGGAAGTTTACGTTAAATAAGTCCTTATGTTTATAAGCAGTGGATTACTGGTACTTTTAGATAGATAATTAGATAGTGAAACGAATAGAAATAAAACTGTTTTAGTAAACCCATGTTATACTCTGTATTAAGAATAAATCAAGCTTCCATTATGAGGACAAAAATTAGGGCTCGTTCTCTAAAAACTGCAGATTTAATTTTATTGTGTGGAGATAAACAAAGTTCTGGAACAAGCGTGTTTTCTGGTTCTTTGATGGTTCGTATGGTTCAAATGGTTGTGGACGGGATAGAAGTTTTCGCTTAACGGGCTTTTGTGTCTAGTAACAGTGGATCACCAATACCTCCAGGCATGAACCTGGATATGTCAACGATAATAAAGGGGGAAAAAAATTGGTAAATCATAGTAAGATACCATTCTTAGTCGTTAAAAATAGGTCAAGTTGCCTCTTAAAGGACTCCTGGGAAGTCAATTGGACTAGTTCAGTCGGCAGAGGATTCCAGCATTTGACAATTCGTAAGGAGTAGAAGTTGTGTATACAGTCCGTTCTGCTGTATTGTTTCTCTAGTTTCTGGGTGTTACCCCTCAGTTCTGTCTTGGAGCTTAACTTAGGTAGGTGTTTAAGGGGATGTCCAGAAGTGTTAATAATACTGTAAGCCATTAGAGGGTCACCTCTAAGACGCCTATACTCTAATGGGTAAAGGTTTATTGATTGGAGGCGCCATTCATAAGGCTTGAAATTGAAACTTCGAACTGCTTTCATGGCTCGCCGTTGGATACGTTGCAGATTTTCCTTATCCTTTTGGAGTGTAGGGGGAAATACTATGTTTTCGTACTCTGAATGATGACGAATAAATCTGTTGAAGATTATGTGGAAAGTTCTTCCATCAAACTGGCCAAAAATGCGCTTCAATGTTACTAGTGCAAGGTTTGCTCGAAAAGCATTATTGTCAAAGTTAGAGTAAGACTTCAAATCATAGGATATCAGCACTCCTAGATCTTTTTCAACTTGGAATATTTCTAGAAAGAAGTTTCCCAAGTTGTAATTGTGGTCTGCAACATGTATCAGATGGAGTACTTTACGCTTTGAAGTGTTAAAGGTATGTCTGTTGTCATCTGCCCAGTTTTGAAGTCGAGTCAGATCCTCCTGAAGTGCATGTATATCGTCTTGGTTACGTATCTCTCTGGTTAGTATTTTTTAGCGAGTTAGTTTTCTACGGGATGGGATCACTAACCCCATGCCCAACCCTCATCCTTTATCCGGGCTTGCGACCGACAGTAGCCCGCGGAGCGACTTCAGGCGGAGATCATCACTTTCGGTAGTTGGTTCCTGGAGTTGGTATACATGTGTAGCGCCAGTAAAGTATCGTCAAGACGCAGCCAAAAGAAGAATCAAGCCAACTGATTTCGCATTAGATAAGAAATCACTGGACATAGGGTAGTTTCTTGAATATTTTTTAAGTCATAGATGGATGATGACGATTAGTCAACTATACATCTCTCGCTTCATGAAGCAGTATCTTAACCATGAGCTTCTTTAACATTTTCTCTGTAATGCAACATTCAAGTGTTGTATGATCCTGTTCGTTTTAAGCAATCACCGAAATAACTATGATACCGGAATACCGCGGTAGGATAATCTGGACTGTTCGTAAATTTCTGGGTTTGACTTAGATGAAATTTAGCAACTCACATTATATCCATCCTAACTCCAGTGAACCCCCCAACCATCCAAGTGTCCTGTGGTATTTAAATGTGAGATCGGCATCAGTGCATTTATTTATCCGATAAGAATGACAGACTCCACCCAATATATCCAACCATATCAAGACTTGGTTTATATGATCTTACGTTAATGTGACATCGTTGGCTACCCCGAAATGCTCATTTCTGTGATTCAGGGGTACCTCTTGGTAAGATCGTTGAATAAATAGTCCAACCGAAAGGATAATATGTTTAACGTAGAGACGGAAGAGATAAACTTGGGGTAATCACTCTCGTGTACCCAAACAATCATGTTACGGCCGTGTTTCTGCCTTAGCCTTTGGACCTTCACCACTTTTCATCAGCATCGAGTGTTTTATCGCCTATTGTAGAGGCGGTTCAGATTGATAAATTATTTTTGGTGAGGGCTCAGTGTTATCCCAGAGTTTTAACACTCTTAAGCCTGAATATCCCGAGTTCCATGTTTATTTTAGCATTCTGAACTTCTGTGTTATGTCCTCCAAGTTGCCCTGATCAATGTACGGTAGAAAACAGTAAATACGCTTGATTCACAATCATTTCATAGAGTCGTGTACATTATGGTCTCGCTTCTTCTTACATTAAGGAAAGATGCAGTACAAAGACCTAAATGCTGAAGTCTCACGTTTTCAGTTTAGGCAAGTGTCCCTAGAATCATCAGGTAGAGGTCCACCGTATATTTTACATGAAATATCAGTTGCCTAATAAGTTAGGTCATGTGGATTGAGCACAACTTCTAATATGTACCTTACTAGGACTGAGTAAACTAACTCTTTAATTAATATCTTAAGCCCGTCACCCGTAGTGTAGCATAAACCAACAATCAAGATTTCTCAAGCTAATCCGCCCTGGCCAATCTGTCCCAGCGGTTGCGAAGTACTATACATTCTTTTGATATCTGCCTTCACTTCATGGTGTGTTATTTTTTGGTCTGCTTCCTTTGCCGTTGTATTTATGATCCCAAGCTAGAGCTTATCTTATTATGCAATATATATTCTATTCACTTCCATCATCTTCCTCTTATTTACTCTTCAGTTGGGAGCTAATCTGTCCTCTAGCGGTGGTATCTGACCAACGGACATTGAGTATGTTGTGCAGAAAATTGTTTATAAATACATGCGGTTTTTTGACGATGGTTGTAGTAGTTCTTTACGTTTCAGCTCCCTACAGTAGAGCTATATTGACGTTCGTATTGAAGATTCTGGACTTGATATTGGTTGACAGTTGTTCTGAGTTCCATGTGTTATTCAAGCGTCTTTGTTTTGGCAATCCTTACCTCTATATCTGCATCGGATCAACCTTGTTTATCGATGATTCTGTCCAGGCAGACACGCGAAAGTTTCCACCTCTCCTAGAGTTTCTCCATCAAGTGTGATTGGTTTGGTTGGTGTTCTTCGTGTTGTATTTGAGGATCCTGGTTTTGCCCTTATATATGTTGAGGCCTATCGTTGCAGAGGTTGCTGCTGCACTGGCTGTTCTCACTTGCATTTGTTAGTGTGTATGGGATAGAATGACCAGGTCATCTACGAAGTCGTCTAGTTGCATGCAAGCCGTCAATTGTATTCCGTGGTTCCCCTCAGATATATGGGTCTTCATAATCCTGTCGACCACTAGAAGAGAAGTGAGGAAGAGGGAGTTGGCAGACTTATCTGACACCAGTATTCTCTTGGAATAAACCTGTCGATTGGTCAATTGGTACACGACATTGCATTCTGGTTGGTCGTAAAGACTCCGGATGATGTAGGTGACTTCAGCTACTCAATTTATAGTGTCAAAGTAGTTTTCATAAGTTTCTTCTATCCACACTGTCAAATGCCTTCTCACGGTCAATGAAGTTGATATTCAGTTACCAGTTCCATTTCATTGATTGTTCAACGATGACTTGTGGTAACTCCATTTGGTTTGTACACAACCAGCCCTTTCGGAATCCATACTGTTGATCTCGAAATTTGGTGTCTACTGCTTCTTTCATCCGGTTCAGCAGCACAGTTGAAAAGCTTTCTTTCCACCAACAGTAGTGTGAGATTGCATAGGTTGAGGCGAAATCCCCACTATTCTAAGGTAACCAAAAGCTCAAGATCAGCAATATAATTCATCTGTTCCAAGACCCGTTATCGGTGACCACAGTCTCTGGAATTCCGTGGCACACAAATATATTCGTTAATACTTTCAACATTTTCTACGTGGTTGAAGGCACTACTGAGTGGAGTTCAGGCCACTTTGAACGCGTATGTGCTGACACTAAATAGTACACTCTCTCGGTGGAACTTGCAAAATCCAGACGTAATCTCGACGATAGATGATCTAGTTCTGGATAATTTACTGTTTCAAACTTCTCTGTGTTTTTTGATTCATTGTGACACTGTTCACACTTGTTTACTATGTCTTCTATTTGAGCGTCCATTTTTGGTTAGCATACGTAAATGTGTGTTTAATATGAAGTCATTTAAGTACTTTATTTGTAATTTTTGTGGTATCATCACACGTTACCCAGATATAAGGCATTCTCCGATTGAGCACAGAGGTTGCTTTCGTTGAAATAGGTATTTTAATTATTCATCTAAAGACGATGGCCATTTATTTTGAAGGGAATGAATCGGCCGTTGATCAATGGAGTCTCATTTTGTGGCATATGCTACTTGGTTAGTAGTAGTTGATTGAATAGTGATCACTTTTTATGCAAGGATGGCAAAAATGCGGAGTAATAACTGACAAGTCGTAGGAACGAACGTAAAGTTGGTAGGTCGTGTGATGTCCAGCAGATCGGCTAGAATAGCATCAATCAATTTGCCGGTAATGTCGTTGTACTGAACAGAACACCAATGAAGACAATCGAATGTATTTGACAGCGAATTGCAGAACTAGTTAATAAAATCTAACAACCATATAATAAATCGTTAATTTGCAAAATATTAATTCATCGTATCAAACTTGACTGTTCCTGTTGCAATCATCAATCGATTGTCTGACATTTCATCGTTACACACCAACGTACGTGTAATTTTAGGATTTTTAGGCTCACAAGATCTCACGAGAATATTACAAAAGTATACTCACCATAAGTTTTACCAAGTTTTGAAGCAATCAACCAAACTCTCAATTAAAATTTTCTTTATCCATTAACGGAAAATAACTCTCTCATTCTCTTTTCCATGCCATTGATAATTCCTACTCGTGTGACGGTCTTTTAGATTTAGATAAATACATCACATTTGTCAAATAAACTACCAATCATAAAAAGGTTAGTTCCTAATACCACTGAGACACACACACCCGCCGTCATACATTCAACTTCTATGGAGAGAGTTCTGTAGTGGCATTGGGCCCTAACACGAGACAATATGGAAAATAGATATTCAACATTTAACGCTGGGAAATAACTAACAATGGAGAAGGCGGGGATAATGAATAGGAACTAATCCGAGTTGATCGGATGGCATTGCTCGGCCATGCAGGCATGGTCCCTGTTGAATGTTACCTTATATATTTTATTCATATGAAATATATTGTTCCATCTCTAGCCTGAAATTCTTCTCCTTCATGTGTTGGTAATTGTTAAGATGCAGTGAATTGGTGTAGTCGATGATGTGATTTGCACGTGAGATCTTATAGATTAGGCAGTTACATGATAACAAATCTACAACTTTGAGATTAGGTCTATTATTAGAGCAGCACTAATATTATTGTAGACCATAATTCTACAGTTCAATCTTATCAATCGACCAAAGTGATAATTTCCTACAGTTGATGTGCATGTCACTAACGCATGTACCATGAAAACCGAAAACTGTCCATCATTCTTCAGATCAGATTAGTTGAGCAAATTTCGAGGACCCGGGACTCTTAAAACTGATCACAAACGAAAGAACACAGGATTGGTTATCTGAATTTCCTTGAGCAATAAACTTAAGTGAAAATTCGGCAATAAATGTCATACAGAACCAGGGAGTCAAGTATCGTTTTCAGCCACTAAAGATTAGTCTATGACCTAAATTCTTGGTGAATAGATCCCATAATTCTAGGTCCTATCAGACTAGTCCTTAATCATGTGTAGTATTTCACAGATATATTTAGATGACGAAAGTCGAACTAGGGGATTTCGATACAGCCAAACAATTTCAGTAGCGTCAATTAGTCAAATCAATTAACGAAAATGAACATGTGAGTGAAAATCTAACCGTAAAGACTGAAATCTGGAGAAAACGTGTTTGTTCACTGCCAATATGGATTAATAATCTTATCCCTAAACAGAGTTTATACCCTTACAGTATAGATAGTATCAGTGGTTATGCTAGCAACACTTACGTATATGAAGAGTTAGCACAACAGTTGTCCACATTTGTGATGAAATTCGGCTGATATCTTAAAAGTCACCACCAGTGCTATGTAAAACTTCAAAGTACATCTTTATTATGGTTTCGGAAATATCACATCAAACTTTTTGTCTACATACTGATGAATTTGAATAGCTAATATTTGTCTTAGAAGTGCCAATAGAAAAAAACACTCTCTTGTGGGAAAACAATTTTATTGATTTCGTTAGTTCAGTGCAGTGATTAGATAGGCTACTATATATAAACGCCTAAAATCTTATTGTTTAGATTGAAAGAGGGTACGTGGAGGGGGGATGACAGTAAAGAAGTTGGTGTAGGTAGTAACAAATAATAAAAGCATATTTTGCAGAAGTGAAGTATTGCAAATTGAATATAACATAATAGTACTCTCTAGAGCACAGATTTGAAGATATAGTTTTAATTTTTTGAACAGGTTAATAATATTTTTACGACCAGTCTCGTTTTCTGAAAATGAAGATAACGGTAAAGAATATCCTGACTGCATGTTATTAATAACCAGTAAGTTCTGCGAAAGTTTGATCCAGTTCACCGCTAAGAGCTTTGTATCGTTCTTTCTCAGCCAATAAGTCATCTAGATTGGGAAAAAATTTTAGCATAGAAAAGAATGATAGATTAAATTTTGTGCTGGTATTCCTAAACTACTCATATGAGACCAGCTTAAACCTTATCGGATTGTTAAATTGAAAGGTGAATCCTTATTCCATAAGGAATTCAAAAACAGAGGTATCCTCCACAGCCGATCTGTAATGTATACAATGGTACTCTCTTAACTGTATTTAAAGTATTTGCACGAAAGTAAAAAAAAATACTCATTGCATCAGGGAATACACGGACAAAGTTGATCAATGTCTCCATGTGACTCGCATATCAAGTTCAGCTTTATGTAATTAGTTTTGAGTTACATTATTTATAGGAGCTGATGATACTATTCAGCTATTGAAAGCGATATAAATGGGGGGAGGGCGGAGTTCATGGTAATATTCATATTTCAACAGAATACAAAATTAAAACACATAAATTTATTAAAGATTAAAGTAAACAAACAAATAAACAACACGATGCTTTAAAATTAAAACAATATAAATAAGCCAAAATGCACACAAAAAAAAACTAGGACAAATTGAGCATTCATTAGAGTATAAACTGTGAAAGAAAAACAAAAAGGCTAGAATCAAGAATGGAACATAAAATAATGTCAACAATGGGCAGACAAACTACATGCATATTAATGATTCATTATTTATTGAGTTTAATTATGTTATTCATGACAAAAGAAGACTTGATAAATAAAATAAATAAATAAATAAACAAACAAAAAAGCCGAACAATACAACCATATGCATACAATACATGCAATTTTGTATTCAAGTTGTAAGATGTTAATGCAAACACAAAGTAAGCTGAATGAATTAGATTGAATGAAATTCATTGATCATTGTATCCATTTCTTTGCGTAATGTTTCATACATAGTACGTTCTGTAATTATACGTTCTAAATGAGAAGATAAATTTATTGAGATTAATTATTGAAAATCTTATTAACGTAACATATATATATTTATACGAAATACGGTGTGTTTAACAGAAATTGTATATACACCTCAATTTGTAGTTGAATTGTACGGTATGCGTTATTCAGCTTATAGTGCGACTTCATCGTAAATGACTTAGAATAATCTATCAAATGTAGATAATCAGGTTTGAAAAACTTGCATCCACGACATCTGATTTTCCTAGGCATCAAAAACGATCTAAACACGGATACAATTATTAAGAGTTGACTCTAACCTTATTAAGGAGTACAGTGTAATTTATTTTTGTGTTATGATTTTGAAATGCATCGCTTAAGACAGTCATAACAACAATCGCCCTCCAAATGCCCTGGGACGGCTGAGAATGAGGAGTCAGTTTTCTCTCTCCAAATGCTCTCATATGACCGCGTGCATACAACCGCTGCCAGGATAGTCCTATTAACTGACTTCTAGCGGCAGGGGTGTTGTTTACGAAATTGAAAGGACGAAAAGCGAATGTCCGGTGCTTTAACCGAGTTGGTAGATACGGAGGATTCATATAGGTCAGTTGGAAAACCCTGATTCCAAACCAATGGTGTCCATGGACTGTATGTTTTCTATTTCAATTGAATATATTTACAAATGAAATTCAACTCTATAGATGAACTGATCATAATTGAAGGGACTATTAGGTCATAGAGTACATAACAAAACTTGGTGCTGACTAAAGAATGTGTAATGAATAATTATGGTGAGCACAATATATCATTAATCATCTACAAGATGTTAGATCGATAAAATGACATTCATTTATGACAATCAAATTGAATTGATTATAAATGAATATAAAGACTTATGAGGTGATATGATATTCTGTTGTCATATATCTGCTAGTGCAACAAATCGTTTCCAGTTAAAACATATAAACTATGCTACTTGTAATGTAGTGGATAGAGTAGTAAACTAAGTAAACATTACAACTGCTTTGAAAAATAATCTTCGTCTTCTTATCATACTATTGAAATTTATTAAAGGGACTAAGTCAGTCAGTAACAACGTAGAACATCGTACGTACATACAACAGTTCGAGTTGCAATACCACATTAGCACACACATGTAGTTGTCGATTCAAATCCCGTAGTGGTAGAGGTAGTAAAAGTATAAGCAATAATCGGAAACATTACGGTTTGAAGATGTTATTCAAGGAGTATAATCCAGTGAAATAAATTTGGAAAGAGACTAATTGCTTTAGATATATAACACAGTTATGGTAATGTTCTCAAAATAAGTTTGACACAGTCATTTAAATTTGTCCATATGATTAAGTTCAATTCATTGACAATAGAGGTGAATAAATTTCTTAGTTTAACTGAAGTGAATTCCAAAAATTTGACATAATATAAAAGCATTGAATTACATCACTATGTAACTAATCTGTCAAGGTCAAGTGACAAATTATAATGTAAATGTGTATTAAACAGTTCATTATATTTGCACCTTTTCAGTGTTTGTTTACTGACTATAATTAATCAGTGACAATGAGTGAATGTTTCTACCACGTGAAATCTAATGAATAGTAAATATCGGTTTTTGAATATTATGCTATTGGAATGTATAATTCTTAATTGACCAATGTCATGTGTGTCAAGTCTTTCTTAGTGTAAATCGAATTCTATCGATAAAGTTACAATATGACCACTAGGCTAGGTGACTCGACATTGCATAGACTATGTTGAAATGTAAGGTGGTGGTTGAAGGTATTCGATGTCAAGTCATTTAGACTAGTGGCCACATTGCAACTTGGCCGACAGAATTCGATTTGCACTAGGCAGGCTCTGAAGAACGTGAAATCGGTCACTACCTAGTGATCAATCAATTGTAAATATATATCACTCCTACAGAAGGTCAGTCGCGACCCAAGTTTGTCAGTCGTAACATCCCTGAATGTGAAGCTGGTTAACGCAGGATCGAATTCGTCAGGGAGTATCAGTTTCCTCAAGATTAAAGGTACAATTTGATGACATAAAAGTGTCCTGACGAATAGTTTTAACCACCACCTTACACAGATGTTCGTTGTGTCGTGGAATTACTACTATCAACTATGATGGCAAACACTAACAAATGAACTACATGACCAGTCAATGAGGAAAAAGCATACATCTGGAATGAAGTTTAGAGTACCCAGATAAAAACAGCGAACACCGTAATAAATATCATTTCGAAAAAGTCAATCCACATTATTTATTAAACCAATATACAAGAAATGTCATATTACTCACCTTTTGCTTTCTTTATTTCCATAAGACGTCGATTAACTTCTGCTTCAGCAGTATCAGCTCGAAATTCAGCCTGAATATTATTATTTCATGGTAATGAGAGAAATGAGTAATACAAAGAAGCATAGACAAATAGAATGATAAATGGAGGTCAAACAAAGGAGAGAAAGTTTAAAACACATGCCAGAGCATTTAAATAAACATCCAATGATCAAGATACTTTTAACCAATATTTCAATGCACAATCCTATAATCTATACATAACTACAGGCATGTTTTATTATCATAATTAAGAAGGAAATAGGAAGAAAATTCCCACCTTCCAAATGATCGACCTCATTTTGTAGTTTAGATACTTGACGTTCAGCTTCAGTTGCTCTTTGCTCAGCCTATTATTTATAATACATATAGATTAACAAAATTTAGTTAATTCGATAATTTGTCTTATGATTTATTTCTTGTCATAAGAAACTGATGCAACACTGGCATTCAATAGCTAAACGGGAGCAAGTAACCATTGAATATAATTATTCTATTTCATGCAAATGCAGATTCTTCAAAATAAAATACACATGCAAAATAGACAAAAAAGTATTCTTGTGAATATAATTATGAATATTGATTGATCGTAAAAGAAGCTATTGTTGTCAACAGCTATCTAACGTTTTAATACATGGAATTATGAGTTCAATTAACGTTATAAACACAATAACCTTATTGCAAAGTGATATATAAGTCAAATAACAGGCTTATAGTTTCGTTGTAAGAAAATGAACTAATATCAATGTTAATGTTTTTCAGAAGGGGTTTTGTGGAGATTTTAGTAATTTCAATAGTTGAAGTCTCCTTCCTTAAAATAACCGAACTCATTATTAAATTATATGATATGTTTAACGAACAAGTCAGTCATAGTTATAGTTAACATACAGCTTGGGATATATGTACGAATAAAAGAATCAATCTTTTGAGTATATTAGTTTAATTTCATACATATAGTTTCCTTAATTATCTTGAAGAGAACAAAAACAATGATTGATACAGAATAATATGAGTTCATTTTATTTTGTTAGGTTCTCATCAGTTGTTTACAACCTATAATATTTTGAAATCAACATGAGATTTGTATTTAATGAGTTTCACTTTACTTCCTTCAATCTACGCAGTTCACTTAGTAACAACCAGTACTTTCACACAGTCCCAATATTGGATAGGATTACATTTAACTTCATCAGTCAGTGTGTCATTGAAAGGCGTACCTCAGAAGTACATAAACCTTGTGAAGGCTCTTTGCTCGAACAATACTAGTCGTGTCAGAGCTTATGACGAACTGTCATTTGCTTTTGCAACCTCAAGTGGTGTCCGACAAGGATGTCCACTTTCTCCATTTTTGCTTAACTTCATCATAGATCTACTGATGGAAATAACGCTCTCATCGACTGAATTCTCGGGCATTGATCTCCTACCAGGAGGTCCACTTATCGACTTAGAATACGCAGATAACATAGTCCTGTTTGGTGAAGACACTGATGAAATGCAGTGCCTTCTGGTAGCACTAAGCAACAATGCCAGAATGTTTGGGATGCGCTTCTCTCCATCTGAATGCAAGTTGTTGCTTCAGGACTGGTCTGCGTCAACACCTGAACTAAGGATAGGGAGTGAAGTAGTCGAACGCGTTGACAACTTCACTTATCTTGGAAGTCTAATCGGCCCTAATGGGTTGATGTCTGATGAAATCTCAGCACGGATTCGAAAAGCTTGTTCGGCTTTTGCCAACTTACGTCACCTATGGCGAAGGCGAGATATCCGTCTATCAATTAAGGGACGAGTATACTGCGCGGCAGTTCGGTCCGTTCTACTATACGGCTGCGAAACATGGCCTTTAGGAGTAGAAGATACTCGTAAATTACTAGTATTTGACCACAGATGCCTTAGAAATATTGTTCGCATCTTCTGGGATCACCGGGTAAGAAATAGTTAGGTACTATATCCTTATATGCAATCTTTCTTTTATATATTACCACCATTGACTTAACTACTTCTATAAATCTGGTGTTCATCTTGCCGTGTTAATGCAGCATGGCAACTTGGACCGATGCATATATGTGTGCCCGGTCCTACCTTATAGCTGACTGACTGATTGAAATAGTTATGTTGTGATATTTCTCCAAATCTGCGATAATAACAATTACAAACAATCAAACTTCGAAAATGTAACATACATTTTTTTCATGTTTCTAGGGTACTCTTTATCTTCATAATTAAAAAAAGATAATTAGAAATTAAGGATTTCTATTAGATTATAAATAGACGACAGATTTCCATCCTTTGACTGACAGAATCCAATCATATCTATTTATTGTTGAAAATACTTGATATATATATGTTTTTCTTATTAGAAATAAGTCAACTTACCTCTTTAACATGATGAGTTAAAACACTTAAACGTTCCTCCAAATCTTTTTCAATTTCAGCAGACTAAAATACGCCATGCATAATCGATCAATATTTCAAGTGCATGCAATTTTAGACAAAACCCGACGTATGTGTATCGACCGAGAGAGAAATAAAATGTAGATATAAATGAGTTTATCATGGCAAAATGGAGTTTTAAAAATAATTTATAATGTACGTCTATATTTATAATAATTATTATTTAGACTAGAAATGCTACATTCTAAGGACGAACTATGCCCAGTATGCAAAGTAGATCAAACTACTAGCCCGGTAGAATGTAAAAAAAAAACAGACTTTGTCTATGCAAAGATGTGTGTTTGTACTTATTAAAGAAATGTTAAATAAACAGGAAGTGAATAAAGGTCAGTTAGTTAGTACCAAGTTCATTCACTGTAAGAATAAGTGGAACAATCATTCAGAAGTAAAAATCAATGGCGAACAATGCAATGTAGAAAAATATGGAAACACATGCAAAACCAATTTGCACACATATATTTCTACAAACAAACGATTAAATGCCAAATAATAAATTCATCACAACCAAACAGACACACATACACACACACAAACTAAACAAGGCTTACAGCCTTCAATCGTTCTGTTAAATCTCGAATTGTTTCCTCATAGCTTTCTTCACGTTGGGCTGACTAGATGACAGAAAACAGTAAGTTGTTTTCCCGAATAGAAAACAAGACAATAGTAACAAATATAAACATTTCATCAGATAAAAACTCTTATCATTAGATAAGAACAAGAAACAAGAACAGTAGTCAGTCGATGTCAATTTATTTGTTTAGCAGTACTAATTGAGTTCTGTTGATCAAATTTTCAATATGGTCATCAAGCTAACTGATATGATATGAAATTACGATACTGGATGGTTCGAGTTTGAATTTTTCAAAGTGGATAGGGATACATCTTGTAGATGAATGTCGAGTAGAACAAGTGAATATCGAAGACGACAGATAACCAACCTGATTTGTATGAACTAAATTAGCAGTTGAATGAAATGTCTTGTAAAGGTTTATCCAATTTGAAGATAGCTATGGTTACAAATTGGGAGAGCAAGGCCAGCATTCCGTTGATTGAAGCACATCTGGAACACTAAACAACTGTCAGGCAACATCAGTCAGAATTTCCAATACAAATGCTAAGACAATCCTATTGTATGGAGCTAGGACTTGGAGAACTACTACAACCATTGTCCAGGAAGTACATGTACAAACAGTTGTCTACGCAAGATACTCCAAATCAGTAGACTAGACAACATCAGCGACAACCTAATGTGGAAGAAGACAAACCAACATCCAGCTGAAGAGAAAATTAAGAAAAGTTGCTGAACACATTACGGAAACCATCGAATTGCACAACGACGCAAGACCTAACTTAAAATCCTGAAGGCAATAGCGAAAAAGACGGACCAAAGAACACATTACGCCTGGAACTGGAGGCGGACATAAAAATAAATAGCACTTGGTAATAATTGGAAAAGAGATCCCAAGTCAGAGTAGGTTGGAGAATCCTGACTGGCATTCTATGCTCCACAAGAGGTAATAAATGTACGTATGTAAGCCAGCAGAGGAATTCTTATAAATTGGTTAAATATTGAACAAACCACTCCCCTCCTTGACAGTACACGACAGGATTTTATGATAGGCACAGTATCATTTATTTATCTATTCAGATAAATAATAAAATAATAATTATCACTTGAGCTCTGGGGTGACGCTTCAGTGGCTAAGACCGCCATTAGTTCAATTCGCTTTTCAGGTACCTCAACAGAAAGTATCCTCAGATGGTGTGGGAAATAGAAAAGTTATGACTGCTTGCATACCTCAAATGGCACTTGAGATCATGTAATGATAGTGAAAATACATCAAGAATGAAATTAATATATGGAGTTGTATAACTTAATGATTATGGCGCTCGACTTCTACGATCAGTAGGTAGGATTTGAAAGCGCTTTCTTCGTGAGTGACTGTCTGGCCAAAAGAAGAGCAGTGGAATTGAGTTTGAACTTGTGACCTGCTGGTCAAAAGTTGAATGCTTTAACCAGTTAGCTATCCATCCCGATTGAGTGTTAAAACGAAAACCAACAAACGTTATGACAATGGGATAGCAATTATAATTATTTTACTTAGTAATAAGCAGTTTTTATGTATAAAATTCCCAAAAGAATGTTAAATACTAGAGCAGTGGTAGTGACTACTACGTAAATAAGTAATTATATAGAAGCTTACTTTATGAATTTACAAATCATATCTACACACAAATCAGATAAAATGAAACGACTTTTAACAGTTTGGAATTAAGCACCTAGATGGCTGTGATGGATAATTCAACCAAAGTCAAACTCAGAGTAATTTATGGACCATATCAACTTTTAGCATAAGACAAAGGCTAGATAATATTTATCATTCAGTTGTCCAGGTTAATGCATATGAGTGTTTAAGCTATCTAAAGTGTCAAATTTAGAAAAAAACGAACGAGTAAAGAAAGATTCACATTTCTATATAGTCGAACTATCAATACAGATAAATATATGCGTATTGTGAAATTACCTCTTGTTCGGAAATTTCAAGAGCTTTCATGTTATTACCAACAACTCGTAGTTCCTCTTCCAATTCTACTATTTTGCTTAAATTTGAGAGGGAAAAATTTATGATGGTTAATTATATAACATTTCTATACATGTTTGAAAGAGATGTAGGATGCAGAAGCATATATTTGTCTATGTATATGTACTAAATAATCACTCAAACTAATCATGCAATAAGATAATACCACAACATCATACAAACTTTCATACAAGTCAAAAACGAACAGCAGTCAAAAAAAAGGATTTTAAGGAAAGTATTGACAGACAAGTTTAGTTAAATAAAATGGTAAAAGAAAAGCTAACTAAAACAAAATCTGACAAAGTAAGTTATATTCACATGAACATGATGTACTGTCTAAAGAAATGATAAAAGTGGAGAGAAAAAAATTAAAGTAAACACTTAAAAAGGATTAGATTATAGTATTTAAAGTTAATTTGAACATATACATTGTGACAGACAATAATTTGAACAGTTAGATCTCCTTATTTAGATTGTTTTCAAAATTTTTGGTGTTATTTTGCACTTATTATGATTGTTAAACTAAACTTTGTCACATGAAAATCTAAGTGTTAGTCAGTAAAAACGTAGAACTTCGTACGTACATACATACAACAGTTCGAGTTGCTATACTGCATTAGCACAGAGATGTAGTTGTCGATTCAAATCCCGTATTGGTAGAGGTGGTAAGAGTATAATCAGTAATCGGAAAGATTAGTGTTTGAAGATGTTATTCAAGGAGTATGATACAGTGAAATAGATTTGGAAAGAGAAAAAAGAAAGGTACATGAAGAATTCAGAAGATTAGAATTTGGGAGAAAACAAAGAGTGGATGCACCTATTCCATTGTAAACGATTTTGAGCCATGTCATTCAAGGTTTCTAACGACTGATTGCTATCATCTCGCGGATCCCAACCAGGTAGTCTACACCTACCAATATGGCTCACTCAGTACACTTGTCAGTGACTTCATGGATTTGTGCCATGTTTTGATTTGGCCGCCCCTAGCTTTCTTCCAACCTACTCCTACACCATAAAACATCGCTAGTCGGGGCAGTCGGTGGTTGGGCATATGTAACACGTGTCCCAGCCATCTCAACTGATGAAGTCTCACTACTTCACTACTTCATCCGAACACGGTGGTAAGCCATCTTTACGAAACTACTTATGTAGGCTAAATTAAAACTTGAAAATGAAAAGAATCAGCTAAAAGAATTAGTGTATATACCTGTTCTTTTTTAATCTCCATAGATTTCCATTTACCTGCCAAACCCTTTAAAGTATTCTCCAGTTCAGTGACAAGTCTATAGAGGAAAAACACGAGGTTGGTAGAATGAAAATTTTAAATGAGTAAAATGAATTTCGTGGAGATAGCACTGAGGTGAAATTAATCTCCACTATAAATCATGGTGTTTTTCAACTATAGTATTAACATTGATGGGACTAGAATCTGGTTTTTTGTATATCAAGAAAGTTATATGCACCATAACAATTAATATTATTCTTTTTCCATTCCCTCTTATTATCTAAATCGTCATGGTTTTAAGATCGATTTCCTATTTCCAAAAAGAGATTTGTGTACAGAGAGGAAAACAAAAAGAAGATGATTACATTTGAAAGTAGAATCATCAAACTTATGACCATCTAACGACTTCTATATACAGAACAAGAAAATCAATCATCGGATATATACGGTCGAAATTTGAACAAAATCGTATTTTTAGACAGAGTGTAGTGACCGAAGCTATTATGCCACGTATATTTGTAATAACTTCACATTGTAAACGATAAGATATTGAATAGATGAGAAGCAGCTAAAATAATCAGTTATGGGATCTTCTTTAAGTTGTAGTTCAACTGACTATGAAATAACCATTTCATCACAGGTCTAAGAATTAGATATATTTGTTTTGTATTGTTTACCTTGATCATATCGTTAAAATCAGATAAAAAGATATACCTTACAATCTGCTGATGTATGGGTGATTGACACTTCTAGCTATTAACTTTCTAAAGTTAATTGATCTAAGATAACTAGAAAGAGAAAAATAAAACTTAATGATGTAACGTTGCGGTCTAAGGCAGAAGTGGTGATACTATGTATGGCTTTTCTGAGAATTTACCACTACGTCGAGTTCATACTTTGAAATTTTTACTTCCAGAACGATGAATCCATTAAGCAACATTTTTTAGTGCGCTGACGTTGCGCTAAAGAACACTTAACGGCATTTTTAATATCCCAATGAGTAGAAAAAAAAATTTCCTGACGTTTCGTGAATCAGTGTAATCCAAGTTTAAACTTAGATTAATTTTGATTTGGTTATTTATCCTCTAAAGAAGTGGCTTAAACTGAGTCACAAAACGTTAGGAAATTTACTTTCTTTACTCATTGGGATATTACAAATATGTTATTTTACTTAAAACAGTCTACCCAATGCTCAATTTATTCAAAATTTTCAAGTCGAACCATGATAATAATACCTAGTTAACAGCATTGCTTTCCTTTTAGACGTGAATTTTGTTGCTATAATACTTTCTTGGTGTGGATACGACCTTACGGAACAAGAATCTCAAGTAACTTAGAAGTAACAAAATAAACAACTTACAACGGATTGAAAAACAACTGAACACAAACTTACTCTTCGGATTTAGCCATACGTGTTTCAGCCTCGGCTAAATTCTTCTCAGTTAAGGCCAGTGTACAAGAGATCTTCAGGTGATTTGAACAAATTCATAGGCAGTTAGTATAAAGTGCAGAGTATGGTAACGGAGTGGAAGACATTTTTTAAATACGAAACAAAGAGGAAGACATGCGGTTAATAAATGCACAAAAACTAAAATTACTAAAATTACGCATAGTAATAATAATTTCAAGACAGTTGTTGAAGTTTATTTAAACACAATAAAACCATGCAACATAATGGACGATGCATGAAATACGTTGTTTGCTTGTGATGCATATATGTGTTTCTGGCTACCTTTCTGCAGCTTCGAGACGAGCTTCCGCACGCTCAAAATCAACTTCTGCAATAGCTAATTTACGTGCAGCCTAAAAAGGGAGAGAAAATAGTATTAAATAGCGCTTGCAATCGTGATAAACAAATAAATATATCAAAACACAAATGAAACTGTACGATTCTAATAATACCCATGAATATTAATTCATCCATCAATCTGATTACGACATATAGTCAGGGCTCATCCCATGGTCCATACAATTTATTTATACCCTTAGTGGACTGAGCGCTACAACATGGCGAATAATCTAACAATAAAGAGAAAAATGACGTCTTTGAGAACTAGATAGGTATCTTTTTTGATTAACCGCAAGAAAAAATAGGGACTCGGAAATAGTTTAAAAGTGTTTACGTACTAAGGTTTTAAATAATGACTGGTTGGTTCAGATCCTGCTCCATCCACGACGAGTTAGATAGCCAGGTAATGCCTCCAAATGCCCTGGTACGGCTGAGAGTAGGGAGAGTCCGCTCTCCTTCTTGAAATGCTCTCACATGGCCACGCATATATAGACTCTGCCAAGGAAGTCCTACTCACTGCCTTCACGTGGCGGGGGTGTTGTTTGCGAAAATAAGAGGACGAAAAGCGAATGTCCGGCTCTTTAACCGGATCCCAAACTAATGGTGCACATGGGCTCCAGTATCCTGAAGGAACAAATGGCATATGAACCAATCGTTGGTCACAGGCAACCATGGGACTGCATCTCCTTACGATGCTCCACTACCTTGTGGGTCAGACCTTTAGGTCAAAGGCTCGGGGTGTGGCCCCCTAAGACCATCTGCTTCGGTTTGGGCACCCGGGTAGTATCACAGCCCTTACACATACCAAATGAGGTCTGTGTGGCGCATATGTATTTGGTGCCTCCGTGTACCAATATCTATGTGTTAAAATAAAAATAAATAAGCCAGGTAATATTGTTGGGGTCTACGAGAGCGGTTAGGTTCGGAAGTAAATCTAAAAACTAATACATCGTTGCTTCAATTCATGATAATAATGCTAATTAATAAAGATTTAATGGATCCCGAATACGATCAAGGAAAATCAGTCGGAAAAATGACTGTGGTCTTACAAACTAGTGGCAAATAGATGGAGGACAACCGTTCATGTGATTAGAAGAATACTGATGATCAGTATTATCGCTTGTACAACAATATATTTCTTATAAAGACAATATCATTCCCACATAAGATGTCCAGTACTAATCTTTGAGAACAAGCGACGAAAGTGCAACAGAATGATTTGAAGAGTCTAATCAGATTCGGGTGTTTTAGAAGCTTTATTCAAGTGATAATACTAACCTTCAAAAGTTATACATTGTCTGTCGTACGAAATTACAAAATATGTTTAAATTGTGGCACAAGGGGTTAAGTAATGATGTCAATCAATCAAATGAGTGAAGGAAAAGTAAAATTGCTAAATACCGAACAGACGACCAGCTTTCATTATGTAAGTTTAATAAAAATGATTGTTTTTGTCAATGTTTGATTTGTGAAAAAACGGTTTCTGCAAGCCTCGTTGTAACATTGCTTCACGACTGGAGAGTTTTTCCATACATATTCAAATGAGAACCAAAGTGTGCATGATCTCACTCTAAATTGTCTACCGGGTACAGATTCATGTAGTTGGCTTTGAGCAGAGCATAAGTTGTTTTGACGTATGGAGCCGAATCCTTTGGACAACATACAGATGTGGCTTTCAGACTAACGTAATTACATGTGTAGCCGATAAATGGTGACTTGAAGTACGGTTTATTAATTCATTGTGAATGGCATAATGGATCAGAAAATCTAAAAGATACACGTACTTCTACTGGTTAACTAACTAATCTTACGTACTATAGTGGTGAAACATCTATTTAACTACTAATTTTCAGTGATATAGTTCATCTAGTAACTTCAACCAAACAAAAAAAAACAAGTGTAGAGATAGGATACATTGTGTATGCTTAATTTACTACACATTATGACGAACTGGAAGTCGGATATTAACACGAACGTAAGGATATTAGGATAAGTAAGAAGGGATAAAAATCGGATGAGATATTTTGGATTCACAGGGAAGAGAAATTCATCCACACCACTGCGATCGATTTGAAATTGTGATGCCTGTCATACTTAATAGCTAATATCTATCACCTTGAAGGTATTAATTAGGATGTATATACCTCTCTACATGACAGTTACTTCACGGACAGATAGGATGTTTTGATCTGAACTGTGACTAATTCAGATGGGATTCCAAGTCGTAGCAGACGATCGGTTGGGATGTGTAGCACATAATAAGAGTCACAGTCAGTGCAGCTTACAACTGGTCGAATGACTAACATTCCTTGCATTTAAAATTGCATATGAAACTAATATTATTTGATGAAATATTTTACTAAATTGCAAGCAATATTGAAAAGATACTTCTGATTGAATATCAATTATATATATATATATATATTGCACTACAACTTGCCATATGCTTTACCGACGCCACAGGTGGTGTTGGCTGACAAATAAATCTATTATACAGTGAGGCTTCATGAGCAATCAGCCCATCAAGGGTGATGTAACAATACGCATATATATTTGGTGCCTCCCTGGACCAATATCTATGTGTTAAAACAATAAAGAGTTTTTCTGCTCTTATACTATTAAACCAGATATCAGCAAAAATCATGCTTATAATACACAGTTCTCCATCTCTACAACACAAAGAATATATATATCATAAAGTATCCAGGACTCACCTCGTCATATTTACGGTCTGCATCCTCGGCAATATACTTGGCTTCTTTTTGTTGATCCTCCAGTTGGTTAAGCCGCTCATCATCAGCAATTGAACGAATCTCAAGGTCTTTTCGTCCACTATGTGCAGGTTATTAAATTAAAGAAAGTGTGGGATTAATAAATAAGCATTTAAAAACCTAACAAATCTTCTAAAATCTCTACCTCTTTATATTTCTTATCAGTTTCCTTAGCAGCTTCTGTTGCATCCTCGACAGCTTTCTGTAGCTGCTCTACTTTCTTGTCGTACGTGTCCATTTTATTTTGAACTTGACGCCACGCACTGCATGCATACATGCAAAAAATCATGTTAAAATTATGCATGCGAAAAAGGTGGACAAGTGAGAACACTTGCCATGAACACTTACCGTTCACTTTCCTCTGCAGTTTTACTTGCCTCCTCTAACTTCGTCAATGTTTCAGTTAGACGGCTTGAAGAAACTTCAAGGTCTTCTTCTAACAAACGAATTCTACGAGTCATAGCTGCCACTTCAGCTTCAGCCTGAAAAAGCAACCAAGAGTAAACCATAAAATGTGCCAAATAACAAAGTGCATACGGGATACATAATCAGAAAAAACAATACAACATTTACAAATTTGCTTGAAAAGTCTAATATCAAACTTTGATCAGAAATTAAAATGTACGTACCAAGAATGCTCTCATTTACCCGTATTGTAGAATCTGATTGTTTACAGCATTACCCTTAGAGAATAGAAAGTTGTACATTTGCGTTAGCTCTTTTATCAGTAGGTTTAGTTAGTATATCCTACATTTTCTTGTACAATCCACTAAAAGATGCAAACAGCGTTTGACAAGTTACATGCTCAGAAAATGCTTTTCGATCCGAATAACAGTACCGCGGACAAGATTTATCAAATATTATGGTTTGACTATATGTTTAAGATATTATAAATAGTTACACATAAATAATGTCGAAAAACTATGGAGATGTCATTACTTTACAGTATTCTGATTGCGGTGGCTAACGCCAGCAAAGACCACGAATTAAAAACAGGAGCGCATTAAATTTATTTTAATTGAGAATTACAGTAATAATTGATTACATTACTCAATATATATGTCCACAGTTTTCATTCATACCTTTTCACGCAAAGCTGTCTCTTGTCTCAGTATTTCGTTTTCTGTGATAACATCAAACTGCAATTTTTCTAATTCGGTCTGCATATCCTTAATTTTCTTCTTAACGACAGTCGCAACGTTTGATTCACCCATCATTGCTAAAGATGTAGCGCGAGAGACAAGTGTACCTCCTTACGCAACCTTGAGATGTTTAAATATTTCAATGTTGAATAAACTTTTAAAACACTGAAAATTTATTTCAACAGTTTTTAAGGCCTATGTAAGCGACTGATCTAATCAGGAAATAGCTTTAGTACGATGCAAATAGTGCTTGACTTTCTCAGAGATAGTAGACAGATTATACGGGTGAACGGGTATCCAACGACGTAAGAATCTTTAGACAGTGGATTTCTTTAATGTAAAGTTCTCTGTAGTGTTTTCTTCTGCTTCGTTAAAATATATTCTCGAAGATAGCAAGGTCAGTTGTTTTTACTCTTTGTAAACGACGAAGATTTGGAGACCCATGCATTATATATCAGAAAAGATATTGTTAGAAAGCAATCAACATTTAATGGTGGAATTAATGTACGGGTCGTCAAAAAATTGATTCTACGGACAAATTTACGGTGCAAATGAACAACACAACAAGTAAAGTCCTTCAACCCAAAGTAATCAACCATAAAGATCCAGGATTCATAATAAGTATCGACATTAGGATGAAGAGTGTTTGTTCGACTGCTTCTGAAGGCTTTAGCAACCTGTGGGCACATTGTAAGCTATTCCATCATTTTGAGAAAAAAATATTCATGGTATTGAACCCGACTTTTATTTAGGTGCATTTCGAATGTAGGATTCAAGCAGCGAGTCCTTGTTTTAAGTATGAGACAGATATGATAAAATAACTTCGACAGCGATGGATCAAAATAGTGAAGGGCCTATATGACCTATCTTGAAAGGACAGAACTAAGGCAAATCAGCTTACTTCTTTTATATTACCTCAGTTAATGGGATGATCTAATACAACGATTTTGGTATCAGTACGTCTTAACTTTTTCCTTCACTTAGAACTGATTCTCTGAGATGATATTATTATAAAGCTCAAAAACCGAGACCCAATAGTTTATGTCTAGAGTTCCATTTCTTGCACCGGGTAATAAATTGGTGGAAAACTTTACCATAACACGTAATACCAACACCTTCTTTTGATACATTTTAAAGGAGATATGATCTTTACAGTACTACAAATTGGAGTGATTAACATAAGTTGATTGACTTCCTTTCCTTACTGCTGAAGACCAAAGACTAGTATCAACCAGATGATTACCTCCGCAGAATCTTGTTTTAGGAGAACCATATTCTTCCCGATAGCGAAAATCAGATTAAGAAAACCAAAGTATTGTCTCTGTAACATGTAAGGAATGAGGTGGCTTGATCACTTAAACGACATTATTTTAATATAACCTTGAGCAAAATAGTTGTAAATGACAGCGAATCTGTAAAAACCTAGGTTGGCTGATTAAGTGTTAACCTCAAACATCTAAGTAAATATCAAAACGGTAAAGATTAAGTATTCACTCACTCCCTTATTTTGCATAGAGATTATATCTCGTATTATTTTATATTGAACGTTGAAAGCTTTGCGTATTTGAAGAGGTAATATTGCACTCCGCTGTGTGCTGTCCCACGATCTAAATAAAGACCTATTCGCTTCTTGTCTGGTTCCTATCAATAGAATAAATCATACCGACAGGAGCATGTCTTACAATATTACCGCTTCAAATACACAGAGCTTTCAACGTTCAATATAAAATAATACGAGATATAATCTGCATACAAAATAAGGGAGTGAGTGAATACTTAAGCTTTACCGTTTCGATGTTTACTTAGATGGTTGCGGTCAACTCTCGATCAATCAAAGTTGTTATAAACTCACTACAAAATATAACCTTTCAGTAAGTTCGGAGAAGAGATTTCTTTTCAACAAATTTATTGTCAAGCTGTACAATCATATATATATATATATATATATATATATATATATATATATATATATATATATATATATATATATATATATAATGTCGAACTATTTGTTCCATGAAGACATATAAACAAGGAATAAGCATTATGATGTGATAAAAAATCATAATTCTAGATTTAAGAAAAGGTTTTCAAATATATATACGATTGTACAGCTTGATGATAAATTCGTTGCTAAGAGATCCTTTTGACGAATGTTGGATTATTTAAATGACATTTAATGACTTATTGGAAGCCTATTGTTGCCAAGGGAGTGCAAATAATTATTATTCTCAAGGTTTTAGTTTATTTTTTATTGATTAAGCGTATTACCCCAAAATCTTGACGTCATTCTTAGCATTTTTTCGAACATTTAACTTCAAATTTAATGAAACCTTAATTAAAAATTGTTTTCTCATCCCTTTTAGTCACGGTAAAATATTATTGTTTACAAACTATATCATATCCTATTTACTAAGTAACAATTTGTATACTTGATCTTGAATTACACTTCAAGTATAAAAGTTGGTTGCACTACCGAGATACTGAAAGATGATTGAATCCAGTTGAACTCAAACTTATAACCCAAAAGTTGGTACTAATAGTTCAATTTCAATCATAATAACCAGTCATAGACACATCTTCATAATTATTTAAATAATAATCATTTATATCATTATATAATTAAAAGTTATTATCAACTTACATTAGTAGCACGTTTATCAGTTTCTTCTAATTTATTCATTTGTTCTTGTAATGTTTCTTGTGCTTCATCACAATCAATTTGTGCTTGTTTCATTTTAGTATTTAATTCAGCAATTTCACTTTCCTTTTTTTCACGTTCTTCTTCTTTCTTTTTAAGTAATTCTTCATATTGTACTGCTCTAAATAATAAATAACATGAAAAAAAACACATTTATCTTTTGAAAAAATGAATAAATCAATATAAAAGAGATTATATCTTGAAAAAGATTTTTTTCATTGTTACTATGTCCAGTTGGTTACTGAGTCCAAAATTATTTAATAGATTTTTAAAAAAATGTTTTTTTTCCAATAATAAAATGAATGGAAATATAACATTTCATCATTTAGAAAGATGAATTTTCTATTCATTTAAAACTGTCAATTTAACTCTTAGTTAGTGATACTTGTAACCTTTCAGTTAATTTAAGTCTATAAATGATACTGTGGTGTGTGCTACTTTTGTAGACATAAGTAGTATATTACGCAAGTTAGGAACGTAATGTCTGGCAGCAGAACATTGGGAAAGATCGAAAAAGGAAGAGCGGAAACGCAATGGAAGTTGTATGAAAACTCATGAACAATGAAAGGACAGACAATCAATTGATGTTTGTAACAGGAACAGTCAAGTTTGATATGATGGATTGTTATTTTGCAAATTAATGATTCACTATATGGTTGTTAGATTTTACTAGCTGATTCTGTAATTCGTTGTCAAATACATTTGAAGGACCCTATTGCTGTTCTTGTTCACTACGATACAAATCAATGTGGAGAATTGTTTCAATCAATTTATGTACCGTTTATTATTCTTGGTAAAATTGGATATTGAAAGAGATTTTTTTAGAGAAAAATGGTTAAATAATGTTTACTATCACCTATATTGAATTTATTGAATATATTAGCTAATTCTTTCTTCTTGTACTATGCCTCGATATGTAATCTTTGATTTATATATTACTATCATTGAATTAACTAGTTTTATGAATTCAGTTTTTGAGCTAATGAGGTATGGCAACTTGGATATATATATATATATATATATATATATATATATATATATATATGAGTACGTGGAAAGATCTTAATAATAATAATAATAATAATAATAATAATAATAATAATAACATCGTTATCAGACGCTACCACTAAGCTAATCTGTTTTCAACTAATCTCTCATATAGTTGGGATGTTTACAGTTGCTGGTCATTAAGTTATAACTATTGATTGAAATTTACTAAAATAGTAGTAGAGTTATTCAATACATATCAATTATTTTCAATAACAGGTATATAACACTTTATAATCATATTATTTATAACAGTAGCGTTATTATTATTATTATTATTATTATTATTATTAATACACAACTAACCTTTCCATTGCATTCTCCTTTTCTAATTTCATTGCAATCATTTTCTTTTTAATTCCATCCATTTTATTATTATTACTAGGACTTTTTCTTTTATATAATGAAAACAAAATTTACTTCTTATGATTAACTCAGAATAGATCCTCTTAGAAAAATTGAATTGAATTGAATTGAATTGAATTGAAGTGAAGTGAAGTGAATTTATCACTAACTACAATGAATAAATACTTTAAATAATTTCAATAATTAATAAAAATAGGATCAAATGGAATTTATAATAATCAATTGTGCAACACATATACACGAATGACATGTTATAACAATGGATACACAATTAATTTATAAACCAATCAGAATAGGATAAGAAGAAAAAAAAATCTTTTTTCCGTATAAGGGGGGAGGGAAAAAAGTCAAAAAAAAAGAGAAGAGAATACAATCACCTATTCGAGGCAAACAGTAATGATGATACCAATAATCTATAGTGATTCTTTTCTTTTAAGAAAAGAAATTACAGATTACCTATTTTTCTTTATAATCATAAATTATCGATTGTATTTGCACTACGGTTTGATGACCTTGGGATTTAAATGATGTGTAGGGTAGAATGTATGATCCACCCACTCAAATATCGATTTATTTAAATATGTATCAATATATATATATACACATAAGTGTGTGTATGTGTATATATATAGACACATATAAACAATTGGGAAAATGTTGGATTATTACTTCTGATAAGATAATCAATTTCATGTAATTTTAATATTACCTAAATTGATAGAAAATTAGGTAATAAGAAATGGGATAAAATGAAACGGCCTAGCCACTATCTATCTTTTGCTTAAACAATTTGTAACTTAAGGCTAAATTGAGACAATCCCCGCAGACGATGCACATATGCTAATAAAAGACTGATCAATTGCAGTCGTTAAACAACAATAGGATGATACAAGTAAAACAATACCAAGTGAATTTCAACTTCATCTCATTGCAAAAGCAAGTGACTAACAGGACTCAGTAGCTAAGTGGATACCGAGGTGGCGTTTGAAGCGTACGATATTGAGTTTGAGTCTTACAGTAAACATCAACTTTGAGATGTAGGTACATTCAGCTGACGAGTCTCAAATAGGAGGACGAAACGCGCGTCAAATTGGATTCCACTGCTAATCATTATCCATCTTTGTTTAAATAGATTGTGACTTAAGTCTATATTGAGGCGATCTCCGCACAGGATGCACATATAACAATGGAGTGATACAAATAAAACGACACAAAAGTGAATGTAACTAGGATATTTTTGATTATATAATCTAAATGATAGATTTAACAGATCAAGAATATCTTAGATGTATTTTCCACTATACTCATCTTTTTCAGATTCAAAATGTAAAAGAATTCATATAAATTCAAATTGATGAAATTACCATTCACTTTATTAAATCATTCTTTTAATCTTCTTATAACTGATAAGAATCCACCATGAATCTGTGCATTGACATATTATACTGGATTTGTCTAAGTATATTTATGATTATTAAAACAATAGTTCGTCTTTAAGTTGAAACAGTTTTAATAAATAGTCAATTAATAAACATATTATCCTTGTGGATAGTTCAAAGCAGATACTTATACTGTTCTTTCATTATGGCTATCTATTTCCCCTTCCATCTTCTCCTTAAATTTTCTATCCTCAACTAGTTTATTTCTTTTTCTATGATCCTCTTGATTATATTTAATCTCAATTTCAATATTTTATCTTATCATGCTGGGCCATTCTTTACTTAATTACTTACGCCTGTTACCCTACCTGGAGGAACATAAGCCACCAACCAGCATTCTCCATTCAAATATGTCCTCGTCTTTCCTTTCCAGATTTTCCCACTTGCTACTCATCCTTCTCATGTCTGATTCCGATTAACGACGAATTGTGTTCTTTGGCCTTCCTCTTTTCCGTTCACCTTCACGATTCCAAGTTAGCGCTTGCTTCGAGATTCAGTTTGATAATCTCCTTAATATATGTCCTATCTACTTTCAATGCCTTTCCCTAATTTTCTAGTCAGCTCGAAGCTAGTTTGTTCTTCACCACAGTAAACTGTTGCTGATGGTATCCGACCAACAGATATTGAGTATTTTGAGTAGATAACTATTTATAAAAACTTGTAATATTTTGATGCTGGTTGTAGTAGTTGTCCAAGTGTGATCTCCCTACAGTAGAACTGTCTCGACAATCATATTGAAGATTGTGACTTTGATGTTGATTGACATTTGTTTTGCGTTCCATATGTTCTTCAATTAATCGAATGCGGCCCTTGCTTTGCCGATCCTCGCCTTTATGTCTGCATCTGATCCTCCTTGTTCATCGATGATGCTTCCTAGGTATGTGAAAGATTCCATCTCTTCTCCATCAAATGCGATTGGTTTGGTGTTTTCCACGTTTTATTTGAGAATCTTGGTTTCTCTCTTGGGAATGTTAAAGCCTATTGATGCAGAGGCTGCTACTGCTGCCACCATTTGTCAACGATAATTTCCCTATTTATCTTTTGATGAATATTTGAGCTATTAATAATCAAATGATCATTAGTTTCCCTGTTTAAAAAACTTTTTCAATAACTCTGTTTATTCTACCTCACTTTCACTATGTCTGACAGGAGTTTATTATCATTATTATTGCAATTATTAACATCCTGAAAAAAATAAGTATACATATATATATGTATTCCGTCTAACTAATATTTTGATTAGTATCTAATCTTCAGCTACATATATCGATTTATGGAGTTCATGTTGATACAAGATAGCATGTACCGATCGAATCGCACTTGACGGAGAAGCTTTGCAGGATGTAAAAACATTTACATATCTGGGCAGCATTATTGATGAACACGTTAGACCTGATGCAGATGTAAAGGCGCGAATCGGCAAAGCAAGAGTAGTATATCTACCATTGAAGAACATCTAGAACTCAAAACAACTGTCAACGAACTCGAAAGTCAGGATTTTCAATACAAATGTCTAGACAGTTCTACTGTATGGGACAGAAACTTGGAGAACTACGAAAGCTATCATCCCGAAGATACAAGTGTTTATTGACAGTTCTCTACGCAAAATACTTCGGATCCGTTGACCAGACACTATCAGTAACAATCTACTGTAGGGACACTTAACTGAATCACAAGGCAAGCTCTCACCTGGACCAAAGAACACATTACGTCGAGAAACGGAGATAGATATGAGACGAATGAACAAAAATTGGATAGAACTAGAAAGGAAGGAAGAGTGGGCTGGAGAATGTTGGTTGGCGGCCTATGCTCCATTGGGGGTAACAGGCGTAAGTAAGTAAGTAAGTAATGTTGATTAAATGATATCCAAGTGTACAGTTTAATATTTAAATAACAGATTGATGACAAAAAGCCTTCAAATTCTTCTGTTCTCTTTATCCATTTTTCAGATGTGTTATGTTCGTTTATTAAATGATACACGTAACAATTTTATTTGATCTTAAATCATTGTTCAACAGTAACATAAAAATGTTTGATAAAATTGTTTTTCTTTATGATTAACCAGAGTTATCATGTTCAATCCGATTAACTTTTGTTGATCCTATCATGTAATTCATAAAGTAAATTGATAGCTTATAAAATGATTTTAATGATCAATGATTAGTTTATTAAATTAATTATGTGATTAGAATTTGTATTGCTCTGAAACTATCCCTTCCGTTCTATTAAAATGATACAAATTCACCTAAAATCAGATTTAAAAAATGGTTGCTAAGAGGTAAATAGGTAGATAGAATTTCTTAATTGATATGTGATTATATATATTTCAATCAATGCAAAACCATGTGAAATCGTTCATTTGATTGGAAGAAAGATAAGAGCATCTAAACTATCAAGTCATTTATTGTTGAAATGAAGCATGTTGGTACCTGCCGACTACTTGGTTCAGGTTTATACGATTATTATGACCAACAATTACTGATAAAGAATATTTGATAAGTCTCACAATTTGAACGCTATACTCAGTTCCTAGGCTATTCTTGTAACTGCCAAGCTAGAACTATACAGCGACCTGAACACAAGAGAGAGGGCGCAAAGTATGCTAAAAATACTTTAATTCAAGGTTCGTTCTAATACAGAAAACATAGGGTTTTTATAATATTCTAAATGTCCTTGGGTTGCTCGAAGATTCTGGAATGCTACTAAACATAGTAGCAGTGCAACAACCAGCCAATCAGAACATCTACATGTGACGTTTCACATCCTTGATGTTTCTGGCTAAAACTCCAAGTGAACGCTGATTGGATGAAATGCTTCTTAATGTTTCCAGATCCTTGAGTGTCTTTTGCGAGAAATTTCCTGGATCATCTCAACAATATTGATCTCAATAGTGAAACTACACCCACACTTTGCATTTGTTTTAGATCCTGAATTTCAAAATTATCTTTATTTTATTCGGGAAATTCTCTTTTTTTCTCATTTATATGGTTTATGTTTAATAGTTTCTAATACCAATGGTACTAATTGAATTTTACTAATCTAACATTTATTTCGATAATTTGATTTAGTTGTGCTAACATAGTATGGCGACATGAATCGACACATGTATGTTCCACGTCCTAGGTTACTTATGGCTGATTGATGTAAGAACGTTATAGTAAGCGAGTATTACGAGATATTTCAACAGAATAAGCTTCATAAAACAATATTCATATCAAATTATAAAACAGATTTTTCGTGTATATGAAAATTTATATCTCTTTAAATTGAATTACATGATTAACTTAAAAACTGATACGGTAATATCATATCTATCCAAATAAATATATCGGACTGCTATTTAAACCTTTGGAATACTGGAAGCTGCTTTGAAATATTCGTTGACCGAATTTAGCAAAGGATAATATATCCCTGGTCATGACCAGAGTTACGAACTTTTCAGAACATATCCAACTTCAAAGTCAAGACTTAATGGATCATATCGACTTGCGTCTAACAATATATTCCCAATTTAATAAGTAGTTCTACAAATATGATGAGGAAATTAGACAAATGTTCTCAAAATATATTAGAAACAAACGAACACGAGGAATGTACGATTTTTAGCCTACCGTGAATTAATTGATCACAGAATATGAGATGTCAAATATGAATACAAAGACTGGTTGATGTATAACTGATACAATAAACTTTCCAATGCAGAGATTTCTATTCGGAAATACATCAAATGTACCCTAGAAATCCAGGAGAATCAATAAAGGATCATACATACAATCAGAAGTAGTTGGAAAAAACCAACATTTACAGTATGTCGAGTAGCCTTTGCAATCAGCATTCATCATTGACTGACAATCTTCGAAGATGTCATTATATAAAACTGCTACGAAAACAGAAATGAAGCTGAAGAATACTTTCCTTGGGTGACAACTTTCAACAGATCTCCACATACATTCGCATTTGTTTGCTAACTAGATTTACAATTTTGAGATTGGCATCAACCTCTTGACTATGACAATTTAGTACAGAGCTCAATTCAAAGTCATTAAACTTAATAGGATACGTATAACTGATCCTACTAATCGAAATAACTAATGTAAATATTGGGTCCCCAAATGTAAACTGATTTTCTGTTACTTAACAATTGTTGTAATATAGGGATTGATGGAAACGAACTAACTTAAGTGAGACAATCGCTAAAAATTAGGAAGTGTGAAATAGCTTTTTCGTCTTAGTACAGGACTCACTCATAGTACACACCCACGAACATAATAGCAACCGAAACCAGGCCCTTCACACTTGGGAGAGCCGTCAACCATCAGAACGTCTTGAGCCTAGTCTCCGGTGGCCAAAAAGGTCCAAATTTGTTACGGGAATATAAAATATACCAAACAGACTACAAACAATATAAATAATGTTGTTTAACAGTCATAATCAGTCAATGAGTTTTAAACTTACTATTGCGCTGTTAATCAAATAGTGTATAGATTGATTAATTTTCAACTAGTTATCTTTATTTCTGTAAAGGTATAGTTTTCATTTCGTATCACTAACTCTCAATTGTGAAAAATGACTCGGTATCAATTGTGTACTTGATTAGTGAATAATAAATTGAATACTATCAACAGTGTATACTTTGTGAAGTGAGATTTAATGAATCGTGGAATTTCGTCATGCATGGGTATACGCATAAAATAGCATTTTAGATTAGCCTTCCCGCTAACAAAATGGTAATTTATTTTGTGAACGAATATTTGGAATACATACTTTCTTATCATAATCTTGTCAGTCATTATCTGGGAAAAATTTCATGCTAATAAGTGTAGGTGTGGTGGTTACAATCATGATAATTTCATTTCATTATGTTGATGCCTGTGCGGAAACTTGAACCGATAACAATAAATCAAAGTTTATGTTGTTCATGTCTAACTGATATTTTGAGAATGATTTTACATTAACAATTAACTCTAAATAAGCTGTAAAAAGTTACAGCAAATCGAATAGCAATTCCACCTAGAGCGCCTCTGGTGCTACTGCCGGTCGTAAGCCCGGACAAAGGAGGAGGGTTGGGTATAGGGTAGGCGACCCCATCCCCTAGAGAACTAACTCGCTAAACAAACGCTAACCAGGAAAAATCGAATAGCATTTGACGTGGCTAGCGTAGTTGTAGATTGGAAGAACTCTAGGAGTGGTCGATCTAAGTTACGTATCAATCAACGAAATCGTTACCTATTAAGTTAGGACGTATGATATTGTTGTCTTGATAAGCATAATGAATGATAACTTTTGGGATCCATTTATGGACCAATAATATACGTATATTTTTGTCGGATAATTGTTAAATAACTAAACTATTCATATTCATGTCCCTCTTATTATGAGCTTTATTTTGACCTATGAACTGTTACTATACGATTTACTATTCTTGAATTAGGCCTTGTCTATTAATTACTACCTTCCTCATTCACGGCCACATTTGGCTAATTCTTGTACAAGTGTTGTTTCCTATTATATGGTACGATGTGGTCTGTCTGGTTGGTATATAAACCCTGTATGAAATAAACGATTCATATGGCAGAGGCTGAGATTAGCGTTCTGGACTTAACTGGCTGGGCTAGGCAGGAAGCACGACCGTTAAGTACTATAGACTGCGTCACCGGTTCGATTGATAATTCACTGCTCTCTAATTGGCGGTATCTTTACGTTATACATTAACAGGGCACACAGGCCACAAGTTATAACAGAGATGTTGACTACCTGGCTGAGGTTCACTTGATAATTACAACTGCAAACTAAAGACTATAAGACGATATGGCTCCATAACAACTACGCTATATGTAAATATTTTCACTATTCACTTTTTCTTGCACAATTTCCACTCCATAACTTTGATTCCTTTAGCATTTCACCCTCCTGTACTGATGTGACAATTTGGGTCACTTGTATCCCGTTCTAGGTTTATAATGATTGACTAGTGATAAAACAGTTGGTTTTTCCTAGTTCCAAACTCCTTAGAAAAATGTAAATCAACTCTAATAAGTAATTTATTCTAAGAATACAGAAAATGTAGAAGTGGGATAGAATTGAATTGAGAACAATGTACAGATCAGAATAATTATGATCACTGGTATATACATATAAATGCTACAAAATATAAGTCAAGGAAATCTACATGTAAAACAAATTAAGTGTAATTAACTATATATAATCGAAAGCTAATTATTGTCATTTGATCCAATCAAATATGATTAAACTATATTCATATACAAGAAATGTAATTCCACAAGCAGGAGTACATCGGAGTACATATGGAACAAGTCCTTTATAAAATCCAAGAACACCTTCACCTCTATATTATAAAAAACAAAAAGATGAACAAGTATATATATGCAGAACAACGATGACAATTACATATCTAAAGTGTGGTATCTAATTTGACATCAATACGAGTAGAACCGGCTACTAGAGTGAGAAGGAAGTTTATAAACTATGCAGAATGGAGAATGTATGTACTCATCCGGATATATATATATATATATATATATATAAACTGGTTGACGTTTTCGATTTCATTTCCAAGGTTGAACAGATGAACTTGAATGGGGAATGGATGTTATCTCTAGATGTTGCTTCCTTGTTCACCGATGTACCGTTAACTGAGACTACTGAGTCTGTGTGCCAACAACTACTTGAAAAGCAGATCAATATTGGAATTCTCGAGGTTAGTCTCAAAGAATTACTCCTGAAATGTACAATCAATGTCCATTTTGTCTTTAATAACACATATTTTAGACAAATTGATGAAATAAAGATGGGTTCACCTCTAGGTTCTACCCTTGTTGATTTTTTTCTTGTCAAACCAGAAAACGGACCTATCAAAGAGGTCATTGTCCTACTTTCCGTTATGAAAGATTGATTTAAGCATTTATAACTGTTATCACAACTAAACACACTAACAAATTGTACTTTTCACTTATTATTTTTATTTATGTAATCCATTCCACTGTTATCATTGACTCATAAACTACCCTGATTGGCTTAATGATTTAGAATTCGCAGATGACCTGATCTGATGCAGACATGAAGGCAATGATTAGCAAAGTAAGGAGAGCATTCCTACAATCGAAGAACATATGGAACGCAAAACAAATGTCAATCAACATCAAAGTCACAATCTTCAATATGATTGTCGAGACAGTTCTACTGTAGGGAGATCACACTTGGACAACTACTACAACCAGCATCAAAATATTACAAGTTTTTATAAATAGTTATCTACTCAAAATACTCAATATCTGTTGGTCGGATACCATCAGCAACAGTTTACTGTGGTGAAGAAAAAACTAGCTTCGAGCTGACCAAGAAATTAGGAAAAGGCATTGAAAGTGGATAGGACATATATTAAGGAGATTATCAAACTGAATCTCGAAGCAAGCGCTAACTTGGAATCGTGAAGGTGAACGGAAAAGAGGAAGGCCAAAGAACACAATTCGTCGTTAATCGGAATCAGACATGAGAAGGATGAGTAGCAAGTGGGAAAATCTGGAAAGGAAAGACGAGGACATATTTGAATGGAGAATGCTGGTTGGCGGCCTATACTCCTCCACGAGGGGTAACAGGCTTAAAGGAGTAATATGTCTATGAACAGAGTTAGGAACGATTGAATATCCTAGACTTTAAGTAAATGATATTAATCAATGATACCTTCCAAAGCACTGATCATGTATGGTAGAATTATTGAATAGCCAATACCGAAATAAGACCTAAGTTATTAGATAGCAGTGATAATTTGATTGGTAATGTTTTGAATGGTAATCAATTAAGATTATTAAAACATGTGCTACACTAACTAACCAAAACTTGTAATTAATATACATTAAGTCAATCACCGTAAACTGAACCATGAAGGAAGTGAATGGGTTGTAAAGTTCCAAGTTGTAGTCTTCGAGATAGTCATAAATATACAAGACTGTGGATTTTGAATAATATGGTACAAAATTGACTGCAGCAGTCAAATATGTTTGTTATTTATCCCCCAAGAGATTTTAAGTCTCTTTTTTTCCCCTAATATATAAGATTTTGGATTTACCAACAGCTGAAATTATTATTGTCATTACTATTATGAAATGATTCTTTGTTTTTTTTCACTCTTGCTTTCCTGATGTAAGATGTCATCAGTTAAATTGATGCACGTTTATTCTAAACCGTACATTCTCTATACCTTTGTGGTGTGTGCTACTTATATTGATATAAGTACTATATAACACGAGTCAGGAATATGTCTGGCAGCAGAAGATTGAGAAGATCAAGAAAGGAACAACGGGAATAGAAAGCAATTAGTATGGAAATGGAAGAACAATGAAGTCCGAGACAATTATTAGACATTTTGCAAATTAAGTACTAGAGTATGGTTTTTCTATTTTACCAAGTAACTCGGTAATTATGTGCTAAATATGATTTGGTTGTTCTCACCTGTGTTCACCTTCACTACATCTTTACCTAGTAGATGTCCACAACTGTATTCAAATAAAAAGAGTTCCGGGCTATAAGTTGACAATGAAACTCCATGAAACTTCATGAAATCTTTTATTTGGTAAATAAAGAAGGAACGAATTATTTATTTTAACACATAGATATTGGGACAAGGAGGCACCAAATATATATGCGCCACGCAGATCGCATTTGATATGTGTGAGGGTTGTGATATTGCCCGGGTGCCCAAACCGAAGCAGGTGGTTTTCTTAGGGAGCCACACCCCGAGCCTTCGACCTGAAGATCTGATCCACAAAGTTGTGGAGCATCGTAAGGAGATGCAGTCCCATAGTTGCCGGTGACCAACGATTGGTTCATATGCCATCTGTTCCTTCAGGATACTGGATCCAAATAAAGCGCCGGACATTCGCTTTTCATCCTCTCATTTTCGTAAACATCACCCCCGCCACGAGAAGGCAGTGAGTAGGACTTTCCTGTCAGAGGCTATATACGCGTGACCATGTGAGAGCATTCCGAGAGGGAGAGTGGACTTTCCCCACTCTCGGCCGTACCAGGGCATTATTACGTTACGTAATAATTACATGATGACATTTCGATTATAAATTAACATTGAGTAATTAGAAGGAAGAGGATTAATAATAATCAAGGTAATTATTTGAAAATCATGCAGTTGCTAAGTTGCATAATATATGAAAAAGAGAAGGAATAGAATGTTTTGATGAATGGTCTGTAGAATAGTAGTTATGTAAGAATCAAGAGATGAATGTTGAGAAATTATAAAGTTCAAAAACAAAATTAAAAAAACTAAATGGAAGAAGTATGAAAAATAGTTCTGTTGAAGGAAATTTTATACCGATGGCCAAGGCAGCGAGAGTGGTTGTATAAATTTCTTTTGAATGCAAAGGTTAGGTTTGTCAACATGGATTGCGATGGCTTCTGTAAACTATGTGGCAAATTTGATGGAATATGGTAGATAACCTTAAAAGCTTTATTCAACTTGATGACCTGTGTCAACCAAATGAGCAAGAATAGAACTTTTAATCACTTTTACCTGTCCTTTGCTTAACCACGACGGATGATGCTCTGTAATACGATGACGAACTTGCCGAATTGTACGCCCTATATAACTGGCTCCACAGGAGCAGCTGAACCGATAGATACACATAGATTTGGTGAATTCAGACAGTCTGTCTGTATTGGCCGTTCTTATTTTGAGGTGGTTATAGAAGATAACGTTTAGTCTGACTGCATTAAGTGTTTTTTTGTATGATTTAGACTTCGCAGATGACCTAGCCCTCCTATCACATACACACGAACAAATGCACACAAAAACAGCCAACATAGCAGCAGTCTCTGCATCAGTAGGCCTCAACATACACAAAGGGAAAACCAAGGTCCTCAAATACAACACGGAGAACACCAATCCAATCACACTTGATGGCGAAACTCTGGAAGATGTGGAATCCTTCACATACCTGGGAAGCATCATCAATAAACTAGGAGGTTCAGATGCAGACGTAAAGGCAAGGATTGGCAAAGCAAGGACAGCATTCCTTCAATTGAAGAACATATGGAACTCAAAACAACTTTCAATCAATATCAAAGTCACAATCTTCAATGCGAACGTCAAGGCAATTCTACTGTACGGAGCTGAAACGTGGAGAACTACAACAACAACCATCAAGAAGGTACAAGTATTTATCAATAGCTGTCTACGTAAGGTACTCAACATCCATTGGCCGGATATCATCAGCAACAGCCTTTTGTGGGAAAGAACAAACCAGCTTCCAGCTGAAGAGGAAATTAGGAAAAGATGATGGAGTTGGTGGATAGGACATACATTGAGGAAATCATCAAACTGCATTACGAGACAAGCGCTAACTTGGAATCCTGAAGGGAAGCGGAAAAGAGGAAGGCCAAAGAACACATTACGTCGGGAAATAGAAGCAGATATGAAAAGGATGAATAAGAACTGGAAAGAGCTTGAAAGGATTGCCCAGGACAGGGTTGGATGGAGAATGCTGGTGAGCAGCCTATGCTCCTTCACGAGGAGTAACAGGCGTAAGTAAGTACAGCTCTTCTTAGTTTCTGAGTCACGATTTCTTCAGTAGTGTCATTAATGAACAGTACTTTCTTAGGGACGGTAGGTATCTTTGCCCTTGTTTTCATCTCCATCATGTGTTTTTCGATGAATTTCATAGAGTACCCATTCATGCTAAGTAAGTTCCGAATTTTAACCAATTCATCTTCAATGGTGTCTTCCGAACAAATCATTCTGGCACGATGAGTCAAGATCTTTATCAATTTCCTTTTGTATCTGATTGGAACTGCACTGTAGAAATGAGTGTGTTGTCCTGTTACAGACTTTCTGAGTACCTCTCTTTTTAAAGTTCCGTCTGCTCGTCTAGTTAGTTGGACATCTAGAAATGATATGCTATTGTTCTGTTCATCTTCTGATGTAAAATTAATTGATGGATGAACGTTATTAAATATATTAAGTAAGATGTCCTTATCATGTTCTTTTTCTAATACTATGAAAGTATCGTCTGTATAGCGATAATAAGTTGGCAAATGGCTAATTGTGCTTTTAAGTGGTTCATTTTCCAGTTTTGCAAGGAAAATATCCGCAAGTAGAGGGCCCAATCTTTTATTGCTATTTTCGAAGGATTTTATTAATCATGGAATGTTACTTATATCAGAGTCTAATATTAAAGGATATGTGGAAACTTTATGTTTCATTCAATTGAACTTGAAACAGAAACGAACTAACCTCCATAATTGTCGAATAACATCAGTAACACCATCGTATTTCCTATGCTGGTCTTGCATTCTTGAACGAACAACTTGATATGGATAAGTTATTACAGCTGCGATCAGTTTAGAAGCAGATGAAAATGTTAGGTACTCGACAGCGGACTGAAATTAAAGTGGAGAGAATCAGAAAGAAAGCACTGAAAGGGAATTAAATGTTTTGCTTTAAAAAGTTTAATAATTTTTCTAGCCCATAAACGACAAGTTACATCTATTATATGAGAACTAGTAACCCTACCTAAGTAATGTAAAATATATTCTGAACACTATTACTCACTTGCTCGTTCGTTGTGTATCACACCAAACTACTTATTAATATTCAGTAGTTTTTGCCCTTAAATGGCATGATGCGGCGCAGGAGTCTACTTTTCCTCTCGAAATGCTCTCATACGACCAAATGTATACAGCCACTACATAGAAGTCCTACTCACGGCGAGGATGTTGTTTATGAAATTAGAAGGACGAAGAGCAAATGTCCTACAATGAAGCCGGGTTGGTGGGTACGAAAGATCCATTTAGGAGAATTGGAAAACACTAATTCGAAACCAATGGTGCACATGGGCTACAGGATCTTGAGAGGATAAACAGGGTACAGACAGATGTTGTAGTAATAACCGGAGACTTGAACGCACAAGCCGGGCGTCTAGGCACGGAGGAGAGTCGTTTGGTTGCCAATGGGGACTTGCTGGTCTCAGGTCAGATAGCAGTAACCGTCTACTGCAGGCTGCAACCTGTTTCTGGCTATCACTAATTACTGACACAGTCATTGCCGATGTGTTACCTGTCGTCCTGCCTATGCGTCTCAAACCTAGACTCAGATTGTTCACATCGTGATCAGCTACCACTGGCGTGGTTGTGTACAAGACTGCCGCTCCTTTTGGAGTACCTAACTGGTTTCTGATCATGCCCTTGTTTGCGCTAATCTTACCTTACGTTTCAGTGACCAATAACTTCATCGTACTAAATGGATCGATGTCAGCAAACTGGTCACAACTAAATATCGAACCGAGTCAGGTTCGAAGCTAGTTATCAGCCCACAGAAAAGGGAAGATGAACATTGGTTGTGATTACATGACGCCATGAAAATGGAGAGTAAAGTCTCTTGCGGCTTTGTGAAATATTCCGCTTATAAACACTAGGTTTTTACAGGCTTCTTACAACTCGTTGAAGCACGTCGGTTTGGTTCAGCCAACTACAAGCTTGACCATGAATGAAGATTGCTACTTGACGAAACTGAACAAACTTTGTTTAAGGACTATGAAGCTTGGTGGTTGGAGTATGCTAGTGAGTTTGAAGCGGCAGCTGTTTCTGCTAACTACCGGAAGCTATTTTAATTCATCCGACACACTGGCAACAAGAAGTCTTATGTGAGTGAAAGTCTCTGAAGCTGACGTAATGCCAATCAATAACATCTTCCGACGTTTCGGACGATGAACAGAGTTTTTCGAGGAACAATTAATCTGGTTTGTTGCCCCAGTGACATCGATCAGACTGTCCTGTCCTTCATGGCCGGTGACGACTCACCCGCTAACGAGGCGGAAGTCTGCAAGAAACTCCAACTTCAGAAGCACCACAAGTCACCAGACCCAGATGACTTTAGAAGATGGTGGCGACCTTCTGGTTAAAAAACTGACTGAGTTGTTCACAATTGTTTAGGAGTGGGAGTGTTCCAACATCGTGGAATGAGTCGATAGTTGTCTCTATCTTTAGAAAGGGTCCACGTCATTTATGCAACAACTATTGGCTTCCGTCATGCTTCGTAGATTGTTCAAAACCTGGGAAACATTGACTCGCGAAGAGCAGGTTGGTTTTCGCTCTGGTCGAGGATGTAATGATCATATCTTCACCTTACGCCAAATCTTAGAACACCGTCATACTTATCACAAGCCAACAATTGTAGTGTTTCTTGACATTACGGCTGCCTTCGGGTCGTTGGACAGGGCTGTTCTCTAAGATTGTCTATTGAAGAAAGGTATGCCTGAGAAGTTTATTAACATATTGAAAACCCTACATACTAACACCTCAAGCAAAGTGAGGACATATAACCACCTCTCTCCGTTATTCCAGTCAATTAGTGGGGTTAGACGGGGTTGCCCGACCTCATCATTCCTCTTCAACTTTGCCATCAATGACATCCTGGAATCAGCTCTGATGGTTGTAGGTAATGGTGGTGTGGATCGGTTACCAATAAGTATGCGGGTGATATTGTCTTACTGTACGTTGATACGCAAGCTAAGCAAACCGAACTTAATCAGTTGCCTTTCACCTTCTAAATGCAAAGTACTTCTACAAGACCGTCAAGAGACTATGACTACACTCTCGGTACTACGTTCCTTCCTGGGATTTGTCAGCTATTACTCAGCGTTTGTTCCATCGATGCATGATATTCGCGCTCCACTGAATAGCTTACTGCAGAAGAACAGCTCCTGGAACTAGACTAAACAGTGTGACGCTACATTTTGCAAACTGAAGTCCATTATTTGTTCGGAATTGCTGTTGACACACTACGGTCCAGCCATGCCGATCATCGTAGCTGCAGACGCTTCAGCGTATGGTCTAGGTGCTGTTGTCTCACACCAGTTTCCGGATGCGTCGGAAAAAGCCGTTATGCATGCATCCCGCACACTAACCCCAGCAGAAAAAAATACAGCCAGATAGAAAAAGAAGCTCTTGAGCTTGTGTTTGCTGTGCGCCGTTTCCACAAGTTTCTGTGCGGTCGAATATTCACGCTTCTCACAGATCACAAGCCTTTACTCGCAATATTCGGGTCAAAATCTGGTATTCCAGCTCATTCTGCAAATCGTATTCAGAGATGGGCCTTAGCACTCTTGGGGTATGATTTCGAGATCCAGTACCGACGCACTCAACAATTCGGTCAGGCGGATGCCTTATCACGACTCATTAGTGACCAGTTGGTGGCTGAGGAAAACACGGTGATCGCATCTCTGTTAGCGGAAGACCACACCGAATGTTATCTGACGACCGTAATACAAACTTTGCCGGTATCTGCAACCGACATACAAAATGCTTCTAAGAGCGTCGTCGTTGCTATCATTGGTTTGTGCATAACATTCATTGTGATCCCCTCCTTTTTTGTTTTGAATGATGCTTTGATGATTCTAAATCCGTGAGATTCCCATCCTATAAGCGCATTTTGTACTTCTTTGGACAGTATCAGATCAACTCCCTGAGTGTATGGAGCATTTTCATGTTCGAGACTAGAGGGGAGCGACATCTCTTCCGTACCTAACCTTTGCTGTCCAGCTTGGATCTAATAGGTTTCACTGATTCCAAAAACCGCCAAGTTGTATCGCATTTTCGTTGCTATTTGACTGGTCCTCCTGGTCTCACACATTGTCCGGACGTTCCGAGTCCCTATACTAATTGTTACTCTGGTTGTTACAAGGGGCATCGACCTCACGACTTCCGAAGAGTCACGGCTTTAATCATGAGGCGTCATAATTGTTCTAAAAGAAGATCTTTCAGCTCGGATGGCAGGTTTTAAATGATTTGATTTGTTTAATCTGGTTAGCGTTTTTTAACAAGATTGTTTTCTACGGGATAGGGTTACTAACCCTATGCCCAACCCCCCTCCTTTACCCGGGCTAAGGACCTGCAGTAGTCCTGAAAGAGCTACAGGCGGAGTTACTATTAATGAGTAGTTATTATTTTATTTGAAGACATTGATAATAGAATAGTTGAGAAAAATGGAAGATAACCTACCAGTTTCTCACTAACTGACTTTCCTCGATAACGTGTATTATAAGAATTTTTAAAATGTTCATAAAACATAAACTGGATAGCACCATGACTAACACCGAATAAACCGGGTACATAACCACGATACAACCCAGCAAAACCTTCATGAATCCATAGATTATGCAAAGCATGCCATGTAGATTGAGAATGTATTACTAATGATGGATTTGTAATTTGAGATTTCGGAAAAGATTTTGTTACTTTTTCATACTGTAAACATAATCTAGTTTTAATCACCCAAATTGGATTTACAATTGAAAGTGTAATCATACCTGAAAATGTAATTAGTATGAAATATATGGGTATTTATAGTTATTTTTATGGTTTTAGAAATCGCCTAATAAAAATTTGATTTTAAGGATCTGGATTTGAGTTACTATGAGGTTTTGGTGATTTAACAAATCTTATTAAGGAGATTATGATCGAATGTTTAAAACTAAGGTACATTCTAACAACTTGCAATTTGAAAAGTACTTTGTCTTCTGGTAGTCAAATCTATGTAATCAGACACGTCAACATTAAGCTATCTGTGCTATATATATATATATATATATATATATATATATATATATATATATATATATATATATATTACAGAAGTGAAGATTCGCGATGCTCTAATTCATACACTATTCTAATTTGTCCAATCACTAGTCAGTAGTGCTGACAGTTGATGATGCATTATCCCGAACATACGCAAAAGACATTTTGATCGCTGAATATGAATTTTCAAAGGCATAATGTTTATTTGGTTTACGACTAAATAATGCAACTGCATGACCACAAGTCGAAACATACACATCACTTTTGGACCTGATACTAAGTAGTTAGTCGAAAGTACAGGGGTATAAACACTAGGGCATTGATCAGATAGTTTACCAACGTGCGTTAGCAATCAGTGTAACTCAAACCTCTTTTAAACTGTGTTTCTGTGATTTTAATACTTAGTTATCTAAAATTATACATCATTAAACGGGATAAGAAAATGAGGTTATTATTTTAGAAATTACCTGATAAAGCAGCATATGTGAGATATTGATTGGTAGTGAGAGATTTGGTTTTATCACCACGCTGAGCAAATCTTTTCAAGCTTTCATAACTGTTAAGTGAGAGATAGATATTCCGACGTGAATTAGTGTGGACTAAATTAGTTAAAATGTGATAAGAATGAAGTTGATGTAATAGTATGATCAAGGTAAAATGTGAAAAAAGAAAACAGTACATAAACTGTTAAAAAAAGAAACTGTTGGACTTTGACGCAAATTGTACTAAGATATATCCATTCGTAATGGGCATTTGGGTGTTTCGATTTCGACATTTCAAAGATTTAATCGCCTGGTTCAGTTTGAACGACTGGTTTTATTAACTCTACCACAAAAATTGTGATCAACGGTCTGAAAACATAAACCTGCATTTGGTTAGAGATGTGTATAAGTAATAATGATTGGTAAAAGTTACCCAATTAATTGTCAAAACCCATTTTACTTATACTATAGACATTGTACGTGTTTTGTAATTACCTTGTAGCTTTTCAGATATTCCTAGATTACTCAATATGATGATAATAACTGATAATACCAAGCATATTTACTTGTGATATAGAAATTAACTGCTGAAATTCAACCGGATCTGATGACTCAAGCAGTAATCAGGTTAGTGAAAAATAGGAAAAATCAAGGTTTATCTTACACTTCTGTTGATGTTAGCCCAATTTTCAACCGCAATAATCTCTGGGCATATAGACAGTGAAAACCTTGCAATTGCATTTTATTTAGTTATTCACTAAGTTATCCTTTGGATAAACCAACTCTGGTAAATATATAATTATACCACAGAAAAATTTACTTACAAGAAAAAATACAAACCCCATGAACTACCCGCTCCAATAGCATTCGGGGCTAAACCAAGGTAAAGACCACGAAGACCTCTACACTGAACTATCTCATACAATGTTTGAATAGTTCCCGTTGTTTTGGGTCTACATAATAAATAAATAGTAAGTACTGATAACGATCATTTTTATGAAATAACAAACGATAATAATAATAAAAACTATAAAATTCAACCAGGGAATCTATGTTTTTCAAACATCTAGAATAGTTTATTAGAGAGTGACTTTTTATGCTCACTGAGTGACTAATGATAACAAACATTTTGCGACAAAAAAAAAAAACAACTCAAATGAGATCAGTTACTAGTATGGAAAAGAATGAAAACATCAGAATCTGACCTTAATAAATAGGAGTAATTAATTGCAAATATTTAATAGAGTTGTGTTGAGGTAAAGAAAAACATTGTCTCAAGCTTCAAAATCATTACCAGGCTTAATGTCTCCGGTAGTTTATAGTATAATCGTCAAATCAGGTACAAGTTGATATAAGGTTTAGAGATATTTACTGTATGACTGTCTGCATATTGAAGTCGGCATTATTTATTTGAACACAAATATTGGTACAAAGGGGCACTGTATAGCAGCTCACGTGCAACTGAGTTTGGTCGCATTTAGTTCGGTTAAGCCCTTTTGTTAAGTTATTTAGCGGACAGAGTTATTCATACCATAACAGCTTATTGTACCTTTATTATTGTTGTGCTTGTATGAAATATGTATACTTGAACATTGCTTACCGCCTACGCATAAATTCATTCTGCTAGCTTTATTATTAACTGCTTAATTGATTCGATGATCTATTCATTTCCCTATATATATCCACGTTTAATCCTATACACTCTCGACTCGCTGACTCACTCATTCGCCTCTCTGCTTTGCGGTCTGAGTTATCTGCTAATAACACTGTAGTAGCTGCTTCTCTTTGCCTTCTGATTTCAAACACCGTTGAGGATTATATGATAACGGTTACGAGGGTGGTTGGTTAACGAAGTACAGCCACTACAACCGAATACATATGCGCCACACAAGTCACTTGATTTGTGTGTGGGCCGCGATACTGCCCGGGTGCCCATACCGAAGCACGTGGCTTTCTTAGGGGGGCCACACCCTGAGCCGTCGACCTAAAGGTACGATCCACAAGGTAGTAGAGCATCGTAAGAAAATGCAGTCCCATGGTAGCCGGTGACCAATGATTGGTTCATATGCCATTTCTTCCTTCAGGATCCTGGAGCCCAAGTGCGCCATTAGTTTGAAATCAGGGTTTTCTAACTCCCCTAGGTGGATTCTCCATGTCCACCAACCCGATTAAAGCGCTGGACATTCGCTTTTCATCCTCTCAATTTCGTAGACAACACCCTCTCCACGAGAAGGCAGTGCGTAGGAATTCCCTGGCAGTGGTTGGGAGAGCGCTATATGAAAAATAATGTGAGCATTAGCGACTACCTGATTGCCAGAAGTTAGTACTCCATGGGAGATTCGAACAAGAGATCAACTGGTTGCAGGTCAATTGTAGATATCTTAAACGGAGTATCTAATCTGTTTGATAGAGTCCTAAAGATTAGCCAGATTTCCCAATAACGGTGGGAGAGTATATGATGGGTTGTATGTATACATAATCCCATGGTCCACCACTGTTTTTGTTGTGTGATTGCGTCGCAGAATTTCTGTAGTACTCAAGTTGTAGAGAGCTTGGATGGTGCTCAGTTCATCTGAAAATCAGTATAATTACCCCTTGTAAGCTGTATTTAAAAATTCTGGGGTGCTCCAAAATCCGTTTGTAGTCGTTTCTCAAATATACTAATTAAATAACTATCAAGAACCTATTCTATTTACGATTATTAGGATATGCAGTTGGTTCAATCGAAACAAACGTTCCTTAAACTACAGAAAGCTTATTGCGGAAACTAGTACACCGACCTTATTGACCTCACTGAGACCACCAAAAAATATGTAAAACGCAGTGACCACAAACCAATCCCAACCTGCATGCGATAACACCTGTACCTTCATTCACCTGCAATCTGATTTTGGCCAAATCCAATGGATGCAAAACCAAAACGGATACAACTCCTCCAGTAACACCAGCTACCAAATGCTGCCACTGAGTTTTGTCCAAAAAATTGGTCATATATTTTTAAAAGTCCAAAAATGTTAGTTAGCTTATTGATATCCTCAGAAAAGAATGATGAGAACTGATTAGTATTTTTAGACTAATTAAGGAGCTAGGAGCTTATATCTAGAGAACAAAGCGAGAAAGATATGAAGATTGTGGTCTAGAATGTATATAGGACTTTCAGAACAGTTGTATATTAGTGAATTCAAGAAAATATCAAAAACTTAGTCGTTTAAATTACAAGTTAGGTGGTGGCTTAGCAGTAATAAAGTAAAATACTCGACTATCAAGTAGTAGTTAACAAATTCGTCAGAGTAGAAATGTTACTAACCATTATGAAGGAGTTTTAGATTGAAGCAATACCTGTTTAGTAATTTGTAATGCTTCAACATCTACGAACTTACAGTAATAAGTAGTGGGTGTATCCTGACACTAAATTTTGACTCTAACAAAGCCAATTTAGCTAAACAGTAGCTGATAGGAAATATCCCATGAACTGAAACGAAAGTCTACATAAAGGCTTGAAATTATTCTACTCTAACGTGTTATCTTGGCTGCGAAACGTGGCCATTAAGAGTGGAGGATACTCGTAGACTAGTATTTGATCACAGATGTTTTAGAAATATTGCTCGCATCTGCTGGGATCACTGGATAAGTAATGGTGAGGTTCAGTCAGTCAAAGGGAATGATGGTAAATCAGTTGATGAGGTTGTGGATCTTCATCAACTGAGACGGTTGGGCCGCGTATTACATACGCTAAACCACCGATTACTACGACGCGCAATGTTGACTAGTGTTGGAGATGGGTGGAAGGCAGTTAGAGACGGCCAAACCAAAACGTGGCATCATTTCTTGAAATCACTAACTCCTGGTTTGAGCCAAGTTGTTAGATACAGGCCAATTGGTTGGGGTCCACGAGACTTTCGTAACCAATGGTTGGAGACTCTGGGTGACATGACTCAAAATCTATCAGAATGGCGTCGGTGTATACACTCTTTGTCTTCCCTTGAACTATGAGATTAAAATTGCGTTATATCTTTCTTCCCTTCTGTACTATATCGTTACACACAATATTTCTTTTATATATTACCGCCGTTGAAATATTATGAATTCAGTGCCCAGTTTATAAACTGGGGATTGTATACAGGTAATGCAAATTAATTCACTATAGTTAATGAGTTTGGCGTTGAAGACTGATCTGATATATTAAATATGTTTTCCTTCAGTCAACAAAGTATAATAGTAATTACTACCTTTAAAGGTAGAAGACCCATTAACATGTACCAATTCTTTTAAAGTATGTCTGTTAATATTGAATAAAATAGGGTGTCATGAATTATAAGACTAACAGCAACTTGGGAAGCTACAATTGAAGCTTCGCCAGATGATTTTCCAAGACTAAGCTTAAGAGTTTAAAAACTGCGAGTTAGATGATAAAATTTGGATTATACATAGAAACTACCAACATTTCTTCTTTTTGTCTTAGTAAACGTCGAATATCTCGATTTATCCAGGGATGTCCGTGCTTCTTCTTTGGGACCGTCCAGAGTATGTATGGTTGAGTTACCCGATTGTATAACTGCCTGAAAAGAGTCCATGCCTCTTGTACTGACACTTTGAGTCAATTTCCCAGTTTTCAGCCGATGCTGCGGAGTTGATGGCCTCCATATGTTAGGACGGGCCGACGCAACTGCTTGAAAGGCAATCTCAGCCATGAATTTGAATAAGATGACTGCATGGTCACTTCTCTCTAGTGGTGGGAGGAAAGTCAGTAGTTGTAGTATATCGCGGTCCAGAATGTGTAGCAGATGATTTTCTCCTAAGTTCTCTTAAGTTCTGGTGTAACGAGGGTAAAAGCCTTGTAGTAGGCGTCTTTAATGCACCGTATATAAACTGGGTTAACTTAGAAGTAGGGTCATCGATAACGTCGTTCGATTGCAAATTGTTAGACATCTCGATTGGGTTAGCTTAATTCCAACACATTAAAAACTCTTCTTCTCTTTTAGATTTAGTCTTCACACACGGTGATGACGTTGGTTAAATGACTTTCCTCCCACCACTAGAGAGAAGTGACCATGCAGTCATCTTATTCAAATTCATGGCTGAGATTGCCTTTCAAGCAGTTGCGTCGGCCCGTCCTAACATATGGAGGCCATCAACTCCGCAGCATCGGCTGAAAACTGGGAAATTGACTCAAAGTGTCAGTACAAGAGGCATGGACTCTGTTCAGGCAGCTATACAATCGGGTAACTCAACCATACATACTCTGGACGGTCCCAAAGAAGAAGCACGGACATCCCTGGATAAATCGAGATATTCGATGTTTACTAAGACAAAAGGTGAAATGTTGGGATGGGCCCAAACGTTTTGGCATAGCAGGTACAATGGAAGGCTATAGATCAGTAAGAAACAAGTGTATAACGAAAATTTGAAAAGTTCAAAGAAAATATGAAATAGAGTTGTGACAATCTGCACTTAAGCAACCCAAGAGAATATTCTCATACATAAACTACAGAACAAGGATGCATCATTGGACTCGAAATTTAATTAAAGGAAGGGAATCTGAAACGATAGAGGAAGATCAGGAAAAGGCAGAGGCTATGGCTGACTGTTTTGGGGCAGTTTTCATTCAGGAACCTCCTCTAGACAATGAACCAGACCAAAATAAAGAGTCAACAAACCACCTGCTCACCGTGGACTTCGACCAAGACGATGTGTTTAAGGCTCTTAGCACCTTAAACATCGAAAAGTCAACTGGACCAGATGAACTACACCTTAGAATCTTGAGATATATTGCACAATATATCGCGGCCCCACTGACTGTGATATTCAATATGTCACTTGATCAAGGTGTGTTACCTATGGACTGGA